AAAAATATAGCTCTAAATCTAAAAGAGAATTCTAAACAACAAGGATATTACAGAAAGTGTTGCTGGGAAGGACAAGTTGGAAGGGAGGGGAATGAAAAACTTCCCACAATGCAATTTGCTTCTGAAATGCTGCAAACTCACTTGACAGCTGTGATCCAAAATGGCTACTTGAGTATTTGATGTTTTCCCAGGAGGGACCTGGCAAACAAGTTAAGATAAGGATAGCCTTTAAGACATTAACTACCAATTATCAGCCGGGTGAGATGGTGCACACCTATAATCCCAGCTACTTGGGAGGCTAAGGCAGGAGGATAGTAAGGTGGAGGCCAGCCTCAGCAATTTAGCGAGAACCTGTCTCAAAATAAAAAATAAAAAGGGCCTAGGATGTACTCAATGGTACAGTATCTCTGGGTTCAATCCCCAGTACTACAAAAAAACCCCAACCAAACAAACAAAAAAACCCTCACAAAAATCAAACCACCAACTCCTACCAATTATCCAAGAAGCTGATGGTCTAGTTTGTGAAATATCTAGCCAAACGCTTCCTTCCCTTGGGCCTCCAGCAAGGTTTGTTTATACCAAATACCACAGGAAAAATTTTTTTAAAAAGTAATAAATATTAGGATTAGTTAACTGACTTCTTAGTTCTTCCTTCTTCCTTTCAATCCTCCAATCATCATCCATGACTAACCAATAAGACAATATTTTCCAAGGTATTTTATTAAGTGTTCCTACACATTTCTTTTGTGAGAAAAGCTTTGACCCTATCCACAAGATCAACCAAATGTAAAACATCTAAGAATTCCCTAACACACAATACATTAAAGTACTACCTTTTTGAAGCTTAAAATACCTACCATCTCCCTTCTAGCTAAAAGAGTCTTCTCTATCCCAAGGCGAAAAACAGACCTACCCAAAAGAAAAATATTTTTCTTTTTTTCTTACTTTGTCTTATATAGGTGCATAATCCCATGAACTATTTCAACAGAAGGATTTCCACTGAAGAATGAAATCTGGTCTGGAAGCTGTTTGGATGGAGAATCAGGAGCTGCATTTATGCAATCTTTACTTTGATCTCTACTTCTCTGCACAGTGACGGATGCTTCTGAAGACTTCTTTTCTTCCACTGCATCTTTTACCTCATCTTTCACAAATCAAAAATTAGCAGATTACAAACAGTTGGAAATATGCTAAAGAATTCTAATTGATTAAAATTTCAAGTTAGAACACTAAACTCTGACATAGAAAATATAATATACTGCATTAAGAACTATGTTCACAGAAAGCCAAATGTGGGCACATCCCAACTTTAAAGTTCATTAACAGGGCTGGGGATGTGGCTCAAGCGGTAGCGCGCTCGCCTGGCATGCATGCAGCCCGGGTTCAATCCTCAGCACCACATACAAACAAAGATGTTGTGTCCGCCCAAAACTAAAAAAAAAAATAAATATTAAAAAAAATAAAAATAAATAAAAAAAATAAAGTTCATTAACACCCTCAGAAACTGGAGGATGGCTTTTACATCCAGCAGTACCATAATACAAGCAGACATCTTCCATCACACACTCCTGAGTGGGATAAACATTCAGGGCTATTTTGTTTGAAAACCAAACCTACCAGTTCTGACCATCCCCATGCCTGAAATGCAGAACATATCCACTCCCTCAGTTGGAATGAGCTGGCAGAGCAGGGGAGAAACAATATGCTTATCTGGATGCACTTATGATCTCTTGCTAACTTAGGTGTTAAGATGCTCTCCTCCACCAATGAGGGTTGCAAATATAGCTTGTTAGGATTTTTTTTTTTTTTTTTTGAGATAAGGTGTTGCTATGTTGCCCACGTTGTCTTTGAGCTCCTGGGGTCAAGTGATCCTCCGGCTTCAGTCCTCCAAGTGGCTGGGGCAATAGGCATGTGCAATGCATGACCAGATTAATTTAGAAGAAACATTTAGAGATGCCGAAATGTGCCTTAATGACCTCATGTAAAAGCATGCAAGCAGTAAAGATAAAAGTATGCTCCAGGTTAACATTATGAGTTCACAAAACACGTATAAAACAAGTAACTGGAAGCTCACATTACAAAAGAGTCCAGAGTTTCTGAAAATATACCTGGGTTGGACTTCATAGTCTCAATGATTACATCTGTCATTTCCCGGCGGCCAAGGTGCTGATGAATGATTGTTGCTTTTTCCCCTGGTGACTTCCCTTCTAAACAGGCAACAGCTGAAGCAAGTGTCTTCTTTTTGATCTCCTCATTAGACATTTCCCCAGCTATAGAATACATGAATAATATCTGAACATAAAACAAGCTCCTCTCCATTCTCAATATCCCAGTCAACAGATTTCCCTTTTCTTTCTGCTGCTCTCCCCTAAGATGCCTTTTCAGAATCCATCTCACTCACCTCTGGGACTCCAGCAGTCAGCAAACAGTCAATAAGCTACCACTAACATAAACTCACAAACAGGGTTGTTTTGGTAGAATCAGGCATTTTAATGTAAATCAACAAGAGTCAGCTTCAGAGAAGGTTCAACAAGGACTATGTTTAGATGAACTAACATTTTAGTAACTGGTTAAACTGACCCTGGATTGGGCCTAAATTTCAAAATCTTTAGAGGTCTTTTTTTTTTTTTTGGTGGTACTAGGGATTAAATCTGCACCCTTGCACATGCTAGGCAGACACTCTGCCACTAAGCTTCATCCCTATTCATCCCCCCTTTTAAATTTTAATTTGAGACAGGTCTCACTAAGTTATCCAGGCTGGCCTGAAACTTGTAATCCTGTCTCAGCCTCCATAGTTTCTGGGATCACAGGCCACTGTACTGGGCTAGAGATCTCTTTTTAAACATCCTGGGTCACTGACATGCTATGGATCAAACCACGTAAATCTATCATTTCTATCTTAATGAAACACATAAACGAGAAAAGGAATTTGGTGTCTCAACTAAAATAAGCTCTGTGAGTGCAGGGATAAGGCTTACCTTGCCCATCACTGTACTTTGTGTCCAGCACACAATGGAGAGTTCTCTAAATATATGTTAAATAAACAACTACACAATTGACTCACGCAGATGTCTATGTGTGGCAAATTCCAATTTGGTTGGCTTTCAGAACTAAGGGGTCACTTTTAGCCTTTAAAAGGTCCTAGTAGGAAAGGGGATATAGCTCAGTGGGAAGGTGCCTGCCTAGCATGATGAGGCCAGTACCACCAAAAAAAAAAAAAAAGAAAGAAAGAAAAGAAAGAGAGAGAGAGAATTAATTAATTAATTAAAACAAAAAATCCTCATAACCTTGAATTAAAACATATTCATCTGAGGCCAAGCACGGTGGCCCACGCCTATAATCCCAGCAGCTCCGGAGGCTGAGACAGAAGGATCAAGAGTTCAAAGCCAGCCTCAGCAATTGCAAGGCACAAAGTAACTCAGTGAGACCCTGTCTCTAAAACACAAAACAGGGCTGGGGATATGGCTCAGTGGTCAAGTACCCCTGAGTTCAATCCCTGGTACCCCACAAAAAAACATACTCATCTGAAACCAGCCTGGGCAACATAGTGAAATCCTGTCTCAAGAAAATAAAAAATAAAAAATCAGTCATCTTTAACTTGCAGCTCCAAAGTTGACATACTTGGAGTAGTTTTCAATGATGACATCCTTACTTGCCCTACTCCCATATTCTTGTGAATTTTCTCGTTTCTCCTTACCTTTGCAGAATTTATCACAGTTATAAACCTACACTTATTCTTTACTTATTTAATTATCTGTCTCCCCCATGAAACTGCTGGTGCATTTCAGCAGAGACCATATCAGATTCTGCCCAAAACCTAAGCTCCAGCCATTATTGAGCATTTAATAAATATCTCTTGAACGAATGTTGTTATCAGGTAATCTTTTGAGGACCCAGGAACAGAGCATAGCTGCATTCCCCACTAAGATGGCATGTGCTGGGGTTGAAGGGCTCATTCTTAAGTCCAGCTCTCAGGGTTGGAATCCCAGTTTCACCACTTACATGTATCTTTAGGCAAATTATTTAATCACTGGGTCTCAGTTTCCTTGTAAAAGGTCCAAACTATCCATCTGCCTTAAGGTTGTTGCCGAGGTCATTAAAGAAGAGGATGCACACAGGTTTCCAGTGCAGTGCTTGGATTTAGGAAGTGCTCGAATTTTATTTACTAGGATTATCGTCATGAGGCACCTCAGGGAAAAGGAACAGTTTAATTAAACCAGGGACCATCAGAGTCGTTGGGGACCTAGTCCCTGCTTTCACGAAGCCTAGAGAAAAGCATGTGAGACAAATGTATCACTCGACTCAGGCGGGGCAGAGAAGGAGACGCGCTAGGTGAAAGCCCTCGGGAAGGCACGGGAGGAAGGGCCCAGGAAGGATTTCACATCTAGAGATGACATCTGGGAAGGCCTCCTAAAGATGGATAAAATAAGAGGATCCCAACCACCTCTCGCTTCTGCCTGAGGCAGAAGCCCTCGTCACGGCCTGTCCCCGGACCCACGTTTCGGGAAAGCGAACCCCGGGGCCCAATCCCGGCCACAGGTAAGGCGGCGCGGCACTGGGACTCACCCGCGGCGCTGAAGCCGAAGCCAGCGGGAACGGCCGAGTGTTCCGCGAGCTCCAGTCGGATGACAACCAGTGACACACTCATAGGGCAGGCGCTGGCCGGCGAGAGCTCCGGCGGGCTCAGACCAGGCTGGGAGGCGAACGGAGAGGCCGAGCGGCCCGGGGCCGGCAGCGCCGCCGCTGCCTCAGCAGCACCAGTCCCTCGCGCAGCCTTTGGAGCCACAACAACCTGCACTTCCGCCTCTCGGCCGCCGTCTCTGACCCGCGGGGTCACGCATGCGCACACAAGCGCACGCTCTGATTGGGCGAGGCGGCGTGGGGCGGGCCTGAGTGGTTCCGGACTGGAGCTCCGGGAGGTCGGAGAGGAAGGACAGGTTTGCGTTTGCTGGCGTGGCACCCCCGAGAAGCCCAGCGGTGGGTTTGCGCCCAGGCCCCGATTAACCTCTACCTGCCCGAGAGGCTTCGTCTTCAGCCCACCTCGGCTGGCTAGTGCCCGGCTCCGCGAGATCTCGAATTGAAACCCGAGCTATGCTGAGGGTTTTTGCGTTTGATCTCTCTCTCCAACCCTAGGAAGGGTTGCTTTGTGTCAGGCCCACTTTACAGATCCGTACGCTGAGGCTCAGAGAGGTGATTCCCACCCCATGCCTTCGCAGATGTTTCCAGAAAGCCTAGACACTGTCGGGGGCCCTCGAGATACATGGGTGAATGGAGCAATCACGGTGTCTACTTAGGCAGTTGACCTTCATCACTAGTTGTGTGATCTTTGAACTAATCGTTGTAGAAAGTTGGGCTAATATTCTTAAGTGGTTGTGAGGATGAAATGAAATGATGTGTATAGAGATAACGGTAGCGTTCTTTTAGAATGTCAGATTGCTCTTAGAATATAGATATTGACAAATTACAATTGATGCATATATGGCATATACATGACAGGATGCTGCTCTAGGTATATGATATGAGCATATATAAGATGTGTCACAGTCATCCTGGACATGTCTAGGTATATGGATTTTCTATATATGTGTAACACTATCACATGATATAACCATATATGTAACTTGTGACTACACCCACCACTTGATATATCCATATGTGTAACTTGTGACTACACCCACACGATATATCCGTATATATAACTTGCGACTACATCCTATGGAATGTCTCATACCCTCTTTAAATCAGAGTCTCTCAGCCTCTGCACTTTTGACATTCTTTGAGGGTGTGTAAATATGTATCCTGGACATTGTAGGATGTTTAGAAGCATCCCTGTCTCTGGCCTGGTCCACCAGATGCCAGTAGCACTCTTCCCCCGTGGTGATCACCAGAAATGTGTCCAGATATTGCCAAATGTCCCCTGGGGCCCAAATCACCCTCTATTGAAAATCACTGGTTTATGTGAAAGTGCTTAAACATGTACAAATACATGAGACTTTATGTGAACTTTTTTGGATGTGATAGTACTGGATAACTTTTTTTTTTTTTTTTTTGGTGATGGTTTTGGGGATTGAACCCAGGGCCTTGCACATGCAAAAGCATGCACTATACCACTGAGGCACCCCCCAACAGCCTAAGTTATAGATAACATTTACTGGTGTGCTAGGTACTAATGAGTGCTTTATCTATTTTATCTAATGCAAAGATAACTTTGTGAGATAGGTACTATAATTGTCCTCATTTTACAGAGAAGGAACCTGAGGAACCCCTCTCTCCAACCCTAGGAAGGGTTGCTTTGTGTCAGGCCCACTTTTTCAAGTGTTCAGGATCTCACACTTAGTAAGTGGCAGAGCTAGAATTTGAATGGAACATATCTATTTCAAGAGCCCAAACTTAATATCTTTACTAAAATATTGTCTTAATGTGTAATAACAAACACTGTGTGTCTATTCACAAAAACAAGTAGCAAATCTATACTACGCCAATCTCAGAGAAACACAGGGAGGAGATGACAAATATTCCTTGTGGTTTATAAGATTCCAGTTCCAGAGAACTAAAATTTTCAGCCAGAAATGTCCAAGTTGGATACATTATAGTTCTTTGTAACTGCCAACCACTAAGACTGTCCCTAGCTTTTTCCTATTTTCTGATATATTCAGCTTATGCATGTTTACTTTGTGCAGTTGTGCCAGGGCAGTGGGGTAGGTTGTTGATAGGCAAAAGAAAGTACCCAGAGATAGCATGTGAGACATGTAAATTATTGGGGAAAGTGTATGAGAGTTCAGCAACTGCTTCACAAAGAGTTCAATAGCAATAGGCTGAACAGATAGCACATGTACCTCAACATGTTTCACCAAGCAGTGGCTCCTCTACCTCATGATGTTCTATCCAATGACAGCCAGCTGAGCAAGTGACATGTATCCTTTCCACAGTGCCCCCAGTTCCATGTCTGTTGCTACTGAGAGGGGTTTTATGTGTTAGGCTGCAAAAACAGTAACATCATTGGTATTAGCTTGCTTAGTTTGTATCCCAAGGAGCAGATGTCCTGGAATACAGGAAAGAAAGTAGCTTTCTACAGATAACACTAACTTGCCTTGGTTTCTAGTGGGCCTGAGAGAAAGCCAGTGTCCTTCAAGATCATATGTATTTGAACTTTCCAGCCTAGGCTTGCTCTCCTGGTTCTCTTAACATGGCTAAGTTTTTGGGAATAGAAAGGGTGCATTCAGGGACATGGTGTTTTTACTTTTCCCTTTTCTTTAAAGTAATAAAATGCATCCTTCTATGTCTAGAAAGGCCTCAGGGGATGGATTTATACAAAGATGAATAAGATAGTCCTTGTCTTAAGGGAGCTTACAATTATAGGAACAGATAGAAATGAAAACAATTCCTGAATAATGGAGTAAGAGTTCTACTAAAGTATAGAGAAGGAGCAATGGGAGGGGAAAAAGATGCCTTACTCTTCTTAGAAAAAGAAAGAAGCTTCTATAAGGAGATAAATCTAAAGCTGTGATGAATAAACAAATGGAAATTCATGAGGTACAGCCCAGGAAGGTGTTCTAGTCAGCACAGGACATGGCGAGGTGTGAAGGGATGAGAACTTAACAGCACTTTTTGCTCTGAAGAGAGCATTCTTGGCAAGTAGCTACAACAGAACTGTCATCTGAAGGCGGAGGATTAAGCAAGCTGCCTGTGGGAGCATCGCCCACATGTCCATTAGCAGGAGAGTGTGGAGGACAGTTACTTCAGTTAGGAATTATTAAAGTTGGCCCTTCAGGCCCCAAAGACACTTTTCATCTCTCTCTCTCTCTCTCTCTTTTATATGTTTTTTTTTAGTTGTAGAAGGACACAATCCCTTTAATTAATTAATTATTTTTTATGTGGTGCTGAAGATTGAACCCAGTGCCTCACACGTGCTAGGCAAGCGCTCTACCACTGAGCCACCACCCCAGCCCTCATCTCTCTTAAACCCTTGCACAAGCCATAGTTACATGTTCATGAGCCTATAAATAAATTTGTCTTTGTATCATAAACTTTGGCATTGGCATAGAAACGTAAGTAAAACCAAAAATGTGGAGATCATCCTCGAAGTTTTTATATTTTGAAAATTACTCCAAATTCAGCAAGTTTCCAATGCCCAAGAAGCATATTATGTCATTTTCAAGATTTACTGTTTATGATTCCTTTTTTGATTTTTTATTTTATTTTATAATATTTATTTTTTAGATATAGTTGGACACAATGCCTTTATTTTATTTATTTATTTTTTTAATGTGGTGCTGAGGATCGAACGCAGGGTCTCGCACGTGCTAGGCGAGCGCTCTACCACTGAGCTACAACCCCAGCCCCAATTCCTTTTTTCAGATGCTTACTTAGGTTTTTGACTCTTTAAGGTTGAGGCCAGCCTGAGCAACCTAGTGAAACCCTGTCAGAATATGCACATTTAAAAACAGCTGGGGATATAGCTCAGTGGTACAGCACTTGCTTAGCAGACACAGGCCCTGGCTTCAGTCCCATAAAATTGTAAGTTGTCTTGCCAACCTGATTGGCTCTAACCTGGTTTTTAAAAAAAACTATTTTGTGTGTGTGTGTTTACTAGGGGTCAAACCCAGGGCCTTCTGTGTGCTATGCATACTCTTTTTTTTTTTTTGAAGTTGTAGTTGGACATTTATTTATTTATTATTTTTGTGTGGTGCTGAGAATCAAACCCAGTGCCTTACATGTGTTAGATGAGGTCTGTACTGCTGAGGCACAACCCCAGCCCCATATGCATACTCTTTACCACTAAACCACATCCTCAGACACTCTTGCCCCACCTTTTAAAAAATATTTTTAGTTGTAGATGGACACAATAATTTTATTTATTTATTTATTTATTTTTATATCTTTATTTTGTTATTATGTGGTGCTGAGGATTGAACCCAGTGCCTCACGCTTGCCAGGAGAGCGCACTACTACTTGAGCCACATCCCCAGCCCCAATAATTTTATTTATTTCTTTATGTGGTGCTGATATTTGAACCCAATGCCTCACATATGTTAGACAAGTCTACCACTGAGCCACAATCCCAGCTCTCCTTTTTTTGAGATGGGCCCAGGCTGGACTCAAACTCCTGCACTAAAGTGATCCTTCTGCCTCAGCCTCTTGAGTAGGTGGGACTGTATAGGTGAGTGCACTCCACTCTGCTAAAAGCCTTGTTTTTGTGGCATTTTGGGGGATCGAGCCCAGGTTTCAAGCATACTAGGCAAACACTCTCTCACTTATTTAATAGCCGCAGCCCTTTTTTATTTTTTATTTTGAGACAGGGTCTTGCTAAGTTGCCCCGCCTGGCTTTGAACTTGGAATTTTTCTGCCTCAACCTCCTGAGTTGCTTGGATTGCAGATGTGTGCCACCATGATCAGTAGAAAAGCTTTTCAACTATAGAAAGCACATAAAAAGCTTAATGATTTTCAAGAGAAGAATAAAAGTTGGGAGTTCCCCCAGTTTTTTATTCCAAACTTATAGAAAATGTGAAAGAAAAGACAATCATCTCCCATATACTTTTTTTTAATACCTTTATTTTATTTCTCTTTATTTTTATGTGTTGTCGGGGATTGAACCCAGTGCCTCATGAATGCTAGGCAAGTGCTCTACCACTGAGCCACGAACTAGGGCCTCCCATATACTTTTTAATCTAGATTCATCATTAACATTAATCTCAGTTCATGTGAATATAGGAATATATGCATATATCAACATACATGCATATATGTATGCGGTTCTTGAACCTTTGTGTGGGGTGGTTTGTGTGTGTGCGCGCGTGCATGCATGCGTGCGCGTGCACACGTGTGTGTGATACATTCCAGGGATGGAACCCAGGGCCTCATGTATTCTAAGTCAACTCTCCATCACTGAGCTCTTCCCCAAACCTTTTGAAGGTGATTTTAGAAAAGAGTCAATGGGGAATCATTAGGAGGCTAGGGCAGTGATCTGTATGAGAGATGATGTTTTGATGATGTGATGGTGACATCCTAAGTACTAGGAGGAGGGAGGTACAGGATGTCTTGGGAGAATACAGGAAAGACTGGTAAACTGCAACCCAGGGGACCATTTGGAATTAGCCAGGAAATTGTTGCCAAGTATTTCAGGTCAAGGGAGCAACATATACAAAGACAGGCAGGAGGTGAATATAGTATGTTTAAGAAAACTGCACGTGGATACTTGTGTTGGCTTCTCCCTGGTTGAGGTGAAACAACAGGGTGAATTGAATTGCTACAGATTGGAGGGAAGCAGATCTTAGGGGGCCTTTAAAACCAGGTTAAGGAACTGAAAGTTTGCCTTAAGGGCAATAGAGACTCACTGAAGTTTTTAAATGGGATTAAGATGTGATCAGATTTGCAGTTCTGAAAGATTATTCTGACAAATGAAGAATGAATTGGTAAGAGGTTTGAAAAGAGGCAGAGGGAGCAGTTAAGATCCACAGACAGAGGGCTGGGGATATAGCTCAGTTGGTAGAGTGCTTGCCTTGCATGCACAAGGCCCTGGGTTTAATCCCCAGCACAAAAAAAAAAAAAAAAATCATGGACAGGCAGAACGATGACAGTGAGAAAGGGAAGGAATGGAATTGACAATGTTGAGAGCAACTGGCCTTGCCATGGCTAAGTTGAGATGGCAGGAATTCAGGGCTGAATCTCACTTTTTAGCTTGGGCAGCTGGGTGGATGATGGAGCCCTTTGGTGGGCAGTCAGGGAGGGAGGAGACACTGAGATCAATTATTGATGTGGTTTTTGAGACACTTGTTGATCAGTTGGCAATGTCTAATTGGCATTCCTAAGCTCCAGGGCAGGGGCCTGCATAGAAGTAGTGAGGTCAAGCTGTGCCCTGTGCCTTCTTCTCACACAGCCTGAGCTCAACATGTGCATAAGGAGGCTTTTCCAGTCCTCCTGTCTCCCCTGGACATGGAGAGCAGCTTTCATGAAGTCCATGCAGTGCAGGCAGCAGAGGACCCACCGATGGACACATTCTGGGGGTGGCACCTACAGAGCGGTGATTTTTGACATGGGTGGAGTTCTCATTCCTTCTCCAGCCAGTGTGGCTGCAGGTGAGCTTTTCATTCTTTTTCACATGGGGGCTGAAGAATGTATGGTGAGAGGGGATAGGGGAGACACATCTGGGCAGCAGCATATCCCAGAGGGCAGTGCACTGGCCCTTGAATCAAATTCCAAGCATTACTTAGTGGTTGAGTGTCTTGGGCAAATTGTTCAACTTCTCTGAGTCTTTAGTTTTTTCATCATTAAATTCAGATTAATAATGGTACCTACCTCCTTGAGATTTGAGGAAGAGTTAAATGAAATAATCCACTGGCATAGCACAGAGTGCTCAGCTCATCCTTTGTTCTCAGTAAACAACAAGCTGCCGTGGTTATTGTAGTTTTGATGAGAATTTAACTACCTTTCCCTGGGAACAGTACTACTGAAATCTTGAATGCTGAATGAAATTCCCCAGTGGATCACAACCTTTTCTGCTACCTCCCTTACAGTGTTAACTTTTGTTTCTCAAGCCCTCCCTGGTTTTCCTTCTTTCTCCTCTCTGTTCAACTTACATTAATTAGTTCAGTTTGGGTTTCAAGTTTTAGAAATCCTAACAAAACAGGAACTGAAACAAGATAGAAGTTTGTTTCTTTCTTTCTTTCTTTCTTTCTTTCTTTCTTTCTTTCTTTCTTTCTTTCTTTCTTTCTTTCTTTCTTTTTTTTTTTGTTCACAAAAGCCCAGGTATATGTCTGGGACTGGGATGTAGTTCTGTAGCATTAGGAACCCAGGCACTGGCTCTCACTTACTGTCTCACTCTGTCAATGTGCGTAGTACTGGGGATAAACCCATGTCCTGAGCATGTTAGGCAATGCTCCACCACTGAGCCACACTCCCAGTCCAACTTTGGCTCTTTTAATATTCTCTTCATTTCCTAAATGGCCTTGAATTTGTGATCCTCCTGCTTCAGCCTCCCAAATAGCTGGGATTATATGTGTGTGCTACCATGCCTAATTTGTGTGTGTGTGTGTGTGTGTATGTGGGGTTCTAGGGCTTGACCCCAAGGCCTTGCACGTGCTAGGCAAGTGCTCTGTGATTAATCTACTGTCCCAGCTTAAATCTTACATACTTTAAAAAAATTTTTTTTTGTAGTTTAGATGGACAGAATTCCTTTACTTTATTTGTTTATTGTTATGTGGTGTTGAGGATTGAACCCAGTGCCTCACGCATGCTAGGCAAGCACTCTGCCACTGAGCTATAACCCCAGCCCAAATATTACATCTTAAACCCGGTTTGATAGCAGGCACCTGTAATCCCAGTGGCTTGAGAGGCTGAGGCAGGAATATCACGAATTTGAGGCCAGGCTCTAATTTAGCAAGGCTCTAAGCAACTTGTGAGACCCTGTCTCAAAATAAAAATAAAAAGCCAGTTTTCATAACTGACTAGAAGAACTGAAACTGGGTATGATGTGGCTGTGGGGAATTAGTCAATTTCCATATGCAAAGAGGTCAGATCCCTTTGAGCCTTACTGAACTAGTTGGAAACTTTTCCCTCAGTCTAGACCCAGCCCTTCTCCTTCATGTAGAATGCCAGTACCTGTACACCAGCAAAGTGCTGTTGCTCTGTGATTAATGCCCTTGAGTTTGATACCTGGTACCACCCACCCCATCCCCCGCCAATTAAAAAAAAAAAGAAAAGTTATACTTACATTTTTTTTTTTAACATTTAAGATGGGGGTTAATCAACTCTGGCCCTTGGGCCAAATTACCTGTCATCCAAGAATGACTTTTACCTTTTGAAATAATTGGAAGATATCAAAACAAGTACTCAATATTTTGCCAAGTGTAATGGTACACATCTATATCCAAGATACTCAGGAGGCTGAGGTAGGAGGATCACAAGTTCAAAGTCAGCCTGAGTAACTTGGTGAAACCATGTCTCAAATTAAAAATTTATAAAGGGGCTGGGACTGTAGCTCGGTGATAAGAGTGCTTTGCAAAGTATGCATAGGCCCTGGGTTTAATCTCCAATACTGCAAAATATTTGTTGGCCCTTATTCTAGTTTATACATTTTAAAATCTCACACATACTGTGTGAGATTTATAGACACATTCAGTGTCTATAAAAATGAATTTCTTTTGGAATATAGCCAGACCATTCATTATCCCTGGCTGCTTTTGCCCTATAATGGCTGGGTTGAGTAACTTCAACAGGAACTTTTATGGCCCTCAAGCCCTAAAACATTTGCTGTCTGGCTGTTGGAGAAAGCTTGCCACTTCAATTTGAACTTTTTTTTTTTAATATTTATTTTTTAGTTTTCGGTGGACACAATATCCTTATTTTATTTGTATGTGGTGCTGAGGATCGAACCCAGCGCCCCACGCATGCCAGGCTAGCGCGCTGCCGCTTGAGCCACATCCGCAGCCCCCAATTTGAACTTTTTGGTTGCTATGAAATTAATATGCACATGACAGAAAAATTCTCTTTAACATTGTATTCAGGGAGCATAATGATAAATCAGACTTTTTCATTTTTTGCTACAGTTCTACCTCTTTTTTTTCTGTTGTTTTATATTCATTTCCCTGATTGTCAGTGGGGTTGAGCCTTTTATGGTGTGTGTGTGTGTGTGTGTGTGTGTGAGTGTGTGTGTGTGTGTGTGTATTTTTTGGTACTGGAGATTGAACTCAGGGGCACTAGACCCCTAAGCCACATCCCCAGCCCTATTTTGTATTTTATTTAGAGACAGGGTCTCACTGAGTTGCTTAGCATCTCGCTTTTGTTGAGGCTGGCTTTGAACTCAGAATCCTCCTGCTTTAGCCTCCTGAGCTGCTGGGATTACAGGTATGTACCACCATGCCTGGCATTTTTTAGTATATTTATTGCTCACTTGGTTCTATTTTTCTATGAATTGTTCATTTTTTTTGTTGATTTGCAATAATAACTTTTCATCAGTTACATTGCTTGTAAATATTTTTCCCTTCTGTGGTGTGTGTTGATTTTATGTAATGTTCTTTGCCATACCAAACTTTTGTTCTGTTTGTTCTTTTTATGTTTCCTTTCTTCTTTCAGTGTTGGGAATTGAATCCAGGACACACTAGGCAAGTGCTCTACAACTGTACAACTGTATGTCCCTTTATTTTTTGTTTTATTATATAAACTTAATGTTTTTGTTTTATTTTGAGGCAGGGTCTTCCTAAATTGCCCAGGCTAACCTCGAACTTGGGCTTCTCCTGTCTCAGCTTCTCCAGTCACTGAGATTACAGGTGTATGCCACCTTGCACAGGTTGTGTTTTTTCTTTATGGCTTGAGCTTTTTGAGTCTTGGATAAACTCTTCTCTTCAAGTTCATTTAAAGTGTTGTGTATTTTATCTATTGGGAATTTATTTTAAAGTTTATTTATTTTTTTGTACTCCTGAGCACTGTACCAGTGAACAACATCCCTAGCCCTGCTTTTTTTTTCTTTTTTTTTTTTGGAGCCCCAGTTTCATTAAGTTGCTTAGAGCCTTGCTAAGTTGCTGAGGCTGGCCTCAAACTTGCAATCCTCTTGCCTTAGCATCCGAAGTTACTGGGATTACAGGAATGTACCATCACACCCAGTTTGGGAATTTATTTTTGTGATGTGTAAAATTGGGATTTAATTTAATGGTTTTCCATATTAAAATTCAGTTATGTCTACTCTCGTTTATTGAATTCTTAGTGCTAAAAGAGAATAAAATGCAAAGGAGGGCTGGCTTTGTGGCTTAGTGGTAGAACGCTTGCCTAGCATGTTTGAGGTACTGGGTTTGAGTCTCAGCACTGCATGTAAATAAATAAAATAAAAGTCTGTTGACAACTAAAACATATTTTTAAAAATATTCAAAGGAAACTTCCTGTGCTACCTTTACCCTTCCCCAGGAGGTTCTTGCCTTCTTGCCTTCTGTGGGTATTACTGTGAACATTTGTGTGTGTGTGTGTGTGTGTGTGTGTGTGGTGCTGGGGATCGAACCCAAGGCATGCAAGGCAAGCACTCTACCAACTGAGCTATATCCCCAGCCCACTGTGAATATATTCTTGTTTATCCTTTAAAAATTTTCATGTGTCTGTCTAGCTACACATTGACATATAAGGGTATGTGTGAAACATGTATATGTGCACACATACATTGGATCATGTTCTGCAGACTATTCTGTACCTTTTTTTTTTTTTTTGCAGTAGTTATTTTGCCAATTTATTTCTTCCTTCCTTTTTTTTTTTAAATGGTGCTGAGGATCACACCAGGGCCTCATTCATGCAAAGTACAACATATACTACCACTGAACTACAGCCCTAGACTTTTGCAGTTTTTTCATATCAGTAGGCATAGGTCTAGTTCAAGAGTTAGCAAACTCTTTCTTATAAAGGGCTATATAGACTTTGCATTTTGTAAGCCATAGTGTCTATGTCATAACTACTCACCTCTACAACAGTGAGAAAGCATCAGTAGACAATAGTAAAGGAATAAGTGTGCTTGTGTTCCAATAAAACTTTATTTACAGAAACAGGAGGGCTGAGAGTGTAGCCCAGAGGTATAGCATTTACCTAACATGCATAAGATTCTGGGTTCGATCCCTAGCACCACAGTAAACCAAAAATAAACAAAAAACAACCAGGAGATTGATTTGGGCCCCAAGACCTATTTGTTGACTCTTAGTTTATACATTTTAACATCTCACACATACAATGTGGTATTCCTTAGGTAGATTTACCCTAATTAATTTAATAAGCCCTTTATTAATATACAATTAACCTTCCATTTCTTTTTTATTAGAAGCAGTTCTGCACAAACAGCCTTGTTATCATTGTATATTTTTCTAAATATATCTGGAAGAAATTCCTGGAAGTGAAATTACTGTATCGAATGTAGGCACATTTAAAATATTGGCAGAAATTGCCAAACTGCTCTCCATAGAGGTTATACTTGTTTATGCTTTGTCAGCAATATGTGAAGGTGCTGACTTCCCCACACACTTGCCAAATCTGAGACTATGAAAAAGGCCGTACAGTTTAGCTCTAAAATTACAGAAATATTTTTGGATTGATGAGTTTTGTTTTGTACTAGAGATTGAACCCAGGAGTGTTTTACCACTGATCTACATCCCTATCCATTTTTATTTTGAAGCAGGGTCTGGCTAAGTTGCCCAGGCTGACCTGAAACTTGTGATCCTCCTGCCTCCGTCTCCCGAATTGCTGAGATGACAGGCATGTACCATGACACCTGGATCTATATTGAGTTTTTAAAGTCTTGCTCTTCTCAAGGGACATACATGATATCATTATCATTAGTTATTTCTGAAAAATGAGATTGCTTGTCATTTTACTTTTTTCTTTTGCAATATTAGGAAATGGACCTGGAGTACTTTACCTCTAAGCTATGTCCCAGCCCTTTTTTAATTTTGTATTTTGGGACAGTGTTTTGCCAGGTTTCTGAAGTTGGCAGTGAACTTTCAATCCTTCTGACTTCACCTCCCAAGTTGTTGGGGGTTTTGTGCCACTGTGCCTCACTCTTTTTTCATTTTATAACTTTTTATGTTGTCTTAGATATTTTTAATGCACAAGTACTACTTTATTAGGAAAAAAAAGACAGTGTCTTCATTTCAAAATACACATATTGCCCCTAGAAACTGTATTACTTAGAAACAGAAAACCTCATAGGAGAAAAAACAACACTTATTAAAATGTTCCCAGTACTACACAAATGCTGATTCATCTACTGCCTTTCCTCTTTATGAGCAGAAATTTTCTTATTTGTTCCGCAAAGACAGCTTCACCCAAAGTGACTGATTCAGTGTATCAGCTATATTGCTGTAAAGAATTACTCTAGCTTACAAAATGAAGAGTTGGGTTTGGGTTGCTGTCCAAATCTGGTTTGTTCCTATGTATACTTCTTTAGATGTGCTAGGACCAGGTAAATAACCCAATGTGTATGGTCCAGCCAATGAGAGACCAAAGAAGAGAATCTATGCTGTGTTCAGGGTCATCTCAAGTGGTAAGGACCTGAGGCTCAGCAGCACTGTGTTCTCTGTCGTATAAATTAGTATCTCTTCCTTCAAAGGTCCAAGGTTGAGATTTTGTTTCTTTGGTGCTGGTTTCAACCCAGGGCCTCATGCATGCTAGGCAAATGGTCTACCACTGAGCTTCATCCCCAGCCATCTGAGGTTGAAGTTTTAGTATTTCGTGTATTTCTCTAAATTACAGATAACATTTACATAGGCATCAGAGTGATACCATAGGAACTGGTATGATAATTCCCCTGAACTCCAGCCATTATTTGATGTATTTCATATTTCACTGTTGTATATTCTATTTACAGAATGGGAGGTACAGAATCGTATTCCTTCTGGAACTATATTAAAAGCTCTCATCAAAGGTGGAGAAAATGGACCCTGGATGACATTTATGAGAGGAGAGATAACAACAGAGGATTTCTTAAAAGAATTTGGGAGACTTTGCTTTGAAATAGTAAGTGGAATATATACCTGCATTTCTTTTTATTATTTTTGCCTTGAAGAGCAATTGGCAATATTCATCCATAACTTGATTAAACTGAAAATAAAGTGAAAACCTAATAACCCATTATGTTTTAATCTACTTAGTCTGTCCCTAGGTACTTGATTTTAACTTCATATATGAATAAGTAAAAACGTTCTTTACTCTAAACCCCTCCAGCAGATATTGAAACAGGAGCCATCCACATAATGACTTTGATCCAAAAGCTTATTAGAATGATAATAATTTTTTAAAAATATTTTTTAGGGGGCTGGGATCATGGCTCAGCAGCAGAGCACTTTCCTCACACATATGGGGTACTGGGCTCAATCCTCAGCACCACATAAAAATAAATAAATAAAATAAAGGTATTGTGTCCACCTACAATTAAAAAAAATTTTTTTTAGTTGTAGAGGGACATACAATATCTTTGTTTATTAATTTATTTTTATGTGGTGCTGAGGATCAAACCAGTGCCTCACACATGTTAGGCAAGTGCTTTACCACTGAGCTACAGCCCCAGCCCCTAGAATAATAATATTGACCATTTTCTGTGTGCAGTGCTTTGTCCTAAGCTTTTTATTTGCATGAAATCATGTAACTTTCACAGTAGCTGTACTAAAATATAATAGTAAGAGCAGTTCTGTGGTTGGATGATGTGAGCACAGCAGGGCCCCTGAACTGGACACTTAGGATGGCTAAAATGGCCAATTGGATGCTATACATTTTTCCCACAATTTAAAAAAAATACAAAGACTGAGACTTATAAGCATTACGCCAAGTAAAAGAGGCTAGTCAAGAAAGATGGCATGTTATTTGATTCCATTTCTATGCATGTCCTGAATACTCAAAGCTATAGAGAAAGCAGATTAGTGGTTTTCTAGGACTAGGGGTGTTGAGGAAAGTGAGGAGTGACTTTTTTTTTAATATTTATTTTTTAGTTGTAGTTGGACACAATACCTTTATTTTATTTATTTATTGTTACATGGTGCTAATGATCAAACCCAGGGCCCTGCACGTGCTAGGCAAATGCTCTGCTACTGAGCCACAACCCCAGCTTGAGGAGTGATTCTTTTTTTTGTGTGTGGTGCTGGGGATTGAACTCAGAACCTTATGTGTGTGAGGCAAGCACTCTACCAACTGAGCTATATCCCCAGCCCCTCAGGAGTGATTCTTAATGCGTATGAATTTCTCTTTAGGGTAATGAAATATTCTATGATTGATTGTGATGGTTGTATCATTTTGTGTATATGTTAAAAACCTTTGACTTGTGGGCTGTTATTGTAGCTCAGTGGTGAAGCACTTGCCTAGCACATGTGAGGCACTGGATTCAATCCTCAGCACCACATGATAATAAATAAATACATCTAAACTAAAAAAAATTTTTAAAAACCCAAACCTTGGGCTGGGGATATAGCTCAGTTGTTAGAGTGTTTGCCTTGCATGCACAAGGCCCTGGGTTTTATCCTCAGCAACATACACACACACAAAAAAAAAAAAAAAAAAAAAAAAAAAACAAAAAACCCAAGCCTTTGGCTTATGAACTCTAGGTAGGAAAGTTGTATGGTATGTTAATTATATTTCAATAAAGCTGTTAGATATGTATTAGGTATATATATGTGTGTGTGTGTGTATATATATATATATATATATATATATATATATGTTTATATATGATAGCAAACTGGCCTTTATAGATTCTGAAACATTGTAAGAGTTTTTAAAATCTGCACAGATTAAATTTTAAAACAACAAAATTGACCAGAAACTAAGGTTTATAATGGTAAAGCCTTGAATAATACAAAATTATTAAGTGCCTTCCACATCATGAAAAATATATTCCAAGACTGAGGGTATAGCTCAGTGGTAGAATGCTTTCCTAGCTCGTGTAAGGCACTGGGTTCAATCGTCAGCACTGAATAAAAATAAGTAAATAAATAAAATAAAGGCATTGGGTCCACATATAATCAAAAAATTTTTTAAATAAATAAATTGCATTTAACTGGCATCGTGGTACACTCCTGTAATCTGTGCAAGTAGAGACTGAGGCAGAAGGATCACAAGTTCAAGGCCAACCTTTGGCAACTTAGCAAGACTTTATCAGAATAAAAGTTAAAAAAAGGGGCTGGGGTTGTGGCTCAGTGGTAGAGCGCTTGCCTAGCACTTAGGAGGCACTGGGTTTGAGCCTCAGCACCACATAAAAAATTAGTAAACAAAATAAAGGCTTCGTGTCCATGTACAACTAATAAATAAATAAATAAATAAATAAATAAATAAATAAATAAAAAGTTAAAAAAAGGGCTCGGGATGTGGCTCAGTGGTAGAGGGCACCTGGGTTCAATCCCCAGTACCATACATACATACATAAATACTTATAATACACATTCATTTGTAGACAAGCATGCAGAGGCTTAGGCAAGAGGATTGCTTTGAGCCCAGGAGTTTGAGATCATCCTCGGCAACATAGCAACATTGCTGTCTCAAAGAAAAAAAAAAAAAAAAACAAGCCAGGCATGGTGGGCACGCCTGTATTCCCAGCAACTTGGGAGGCTGAGGCAGGAGGATTGTGAGTTCAAAGTCGGCTTCAGTAATTTAGTGAGACCCTGAGCAAATCAGGGAGACCCTGTCTCTAAATAAATATAAAAAAGGGCTGGGGATGTGGCTCAGTGGTTAAGCATCTCTGGGTTCAAGCCCCTGTACCACCCCTCCCCACCAAAAAAAAACAAAAAAAAACACCACCACCCAAAACTCCCATACAGAGTTCCAAAGAGGAGCTGAACGATTCAGTTCCTTCAGGCAGCAAGTAAATGAACTGGGTTCTGTCAACCACGGAGCCGTAAGAAATCAGGAATCAGTATTTTTTTCCTGTGGGTCATGCATGGCTCTCACTCTTCCTGACCACTGGTTCTTCCCTCCTCTCCTGTTCACAGTCAGAGACCTCCGTGCCCGTGGACTCGTTTTTCTCTCTGCTGACAAGTAAGCAAGTGGCGAAGCAGTTCCCAGTGATGACTGAGGCCATCTCTCAAATTCGATCGAAAGGCCTTCAGACCGCGGTCTTAAGCAATAATTTTCGTCTTCCCAATGGGAAAAGTTTTTTGCCTGTGGACCAGAAACAGTTTGACGTGGTAAGCTTGAGGATTCAAACCAAGGGAAGCATGGTCCGTGCTCTTGCTTCAGGGTGCAACATTGCATCTCTAACCTGAGTTAGGTTCAGACCTAATAGGTTGAAATGGGGTTTTAAAAATTTCACTATGCTCTTAGCAAGGCCAAACATTTGTGGAGTTTGAATCTGTAGTGCCAGGTGGTGATACATGCTGTAATCCCAACGATTTGGGAGGTTGAGGCAGGAGAATTGAGTTCCAGGACTTTCTGGGCAATGTATCAATGCCTGAAGCAACTTAATGAGACCCTGTCTCAAACTCTAAAGTTAAAAGGCTGGGGCTGTGACTCAGTGGTGGAGCTCCCCTGGGTTCAACACCAAAAAGAAGAAGAAGAAACTTCTGCTTTAAAGACCCCCTTTACATTCCCACTTGGAACTTTAGGCTGACCTTAACACAGTCCTTTGTGTCCCCCACAAATCTTAATGGGTCTGTTGGCCTCTTTTCTTCTAAGACCAACTATATTATCCTCTGTTTTTGTGATTTTAATTCCTACATCAGTGCTGTCCGGCCTTTAATGCCTGTGATATAATTTTAACATGTTTGGCTATATTTGGATTTTTTTGTTTGTTTATTTATTTTATTATTATTATTATTATTATTTTGCAGTGCTGTGGATTAAAGCCAGGGCCTGTGTGTGCTAGGCAAGTGCTGTACCACTGAGCTACATCCCCAGCTGTTTTTAAATTTGCATTTTCTGACAGGGTTTCACTAGGTTGTACAGGCTGACCTCAACCTTGTGGTCTTCCTACCTCAGCCTCCCAAGTAGCTAGGATTAGAGGCATGCACCACTTTGTGCCTGGCTATATTTGTGTACCCTTTAAATGCTTATTTTTGTCTTAAAACCAACAGCAGCATAACTCCAAAGTCCAGAGTGGCAGCAAGTCTTTCAGGGCCTTCCAGAGTTGTGATGGATCAGGAGGCCCCTTCCCGCTGGCTCATTCTCTGTGGATAATCCAAGTCAGTGCCATAGAAGCATCTCACCAAATACCATGAGAATCATGGAAGGCTCTAGAACCCACTGGAGGAAATTTCTCTGATAATTCGAGTATTGTATATTTCACCAGCAGAGTCCCTTTCTGTTTCTTTCCATTCTTGGAAGAGATATTTTGGTTTGACTCTAGAAAGTGGTATGTTCCCTGCCTCTGGTCTATTCCTCTGTGTATTTATACCCTTCATTGGACAGGTGAGATTAAATATTTTCAACTCTGCGTTCCATCAGCATGGCCTGGGAGTTTGTGAAGACACAGGTCCCCTTCCCTGGAGATTGTTGTTAGGTGTGTGTGAGTGGGACCTTGGCATGTTTATTTATGAAAAGTTCCACAAGAGATTATACTGTGCAGTCATGTGTTTCAGTCCCTGAGACATGATGAGGATTCTGTTTGTGATTTCTCCTGTCACATGGCCTCCAGTACTATGGGTAAAATGTACTTTTGGGGAAATTGTAAAATTCTCTGTAAATATGACATTAGCAAGTGCCTTGTTAATTTTGGAACTTACTTAAGTTTCACAATAACCACTAAGATAGGTAAGATGGCTATTATTGTTCCCATTTTACTGATGATTAAACTAAGGCCATTTGGTTGTAAAGGCCACAGTGAAGAAATTTGGTTTTCTTGAGTTTGGCCCCCAGGTTGTAACCCAGAATTTTTTAGTTACTCAACTTACCAAAACAATGTCATTTTAATATTCTAACACTTCTGAGTTGTTCTAATGCATCTCAACTGTTCCCCTTCTGCTCTTTCTCAAAAAATACGCCAGCATGCTTGTGAAAGCTATACCTTTAGGGCCATTGCTCTCTCCTGTCCCCCCTCAGGTGGTGGAATCCTGCCTGGAAGGTATCTGTAAGCCAGACCCCAGGATATACCAGCTGTGCTTGGCACGGCTCGGCCTGCAGCCCTCCGAGTCCATCTTTCTTGATGATCTGGGCCCAAATCTAAAAGCAGCTGCCAGCCTTGGTATTCACACCATTAAGGTAAGCATCATCAGTTTTTGAACGCCCTACCATGTACCAAGAATTAGTGCAAGCACTTTATGCCATCTTTTTACACTTGCAGCTATAGCTTTCCGTAGTGGCTCCAGGCTTCCCCCTTATTTCCATAGTCATCATTTTTTAAAATCAGTTATGTAATCTGTGACTAGTTGCTTGTTTTGTCAGCAGGGAGCAAGACAGACATGTACAAAGAAGGTAGTTTGAGCACAGAGATGTGAAGGAGGTGCAGGGCAAACTAAGACGTCTGGGGTGGTGTTCATACTGTCTGAGTGATTTTTTCTAGGTGGGGGGCTAGCAGCTACTAGCCATATGGGTCTCCCCAGGTCATGATGTGAAGCATAGAAGCCATACTATAGCAGGGGAATAGCCAGCTTTCTACATTTAATTTCCATCACGAAGCTGACACAGGGAGGGACACAGCAGATGCTGCAGCCATAGTCTTCTGTCCTCTTGGTACAAAGTAGACTGTGAACTCAACCAGCACTCTTCCATACAGGTAGAAAGTTCAAGGTAGAAGCCAGGCATGGTAGTGCACACCTATAATCCCAGCAGCTTGGAGGCTAAGGCAGGAGGATTGTGAGTTCAAAGCCAGCCCCACAGGCTGGGATTATGGCTCAGTGGCAGGGCGTTTGCCTAGCATGTCTGAAGTGCTGAGTTTGATCCGCAACATCACATAAATATAATCAAATAAAATAAAGGCATGCTGTCCATCTACAACTATTAAAAAAAAAAAAAAGCCAGCCTCAGCAATGGCGAAGCGCTAGGCAACTCAGTGAGTCCCTGTCTCTAAATAAAATACAAAATAGGGCTGGGGATGTGGCTCAGTGGTGGAGTGCCCCTGAGTTCAATCTCCAGTATCCAAAAAAGAAAAAAGAAAGTTCAAGGTAGAGCCAGGCCTGGTGGTGCATCCTTGTAATCCCAGACTTCCGAGCTGAAGCAAGAGAATTGCAAATTCAAAGCCAGACTTAGCAACTTGGCGAGATCTTGTCTGAAAATAAGAAATTTTCAAAAAGGCTGGGTTGTAGTGCAGTGGTTAAGCACCCCAAGTTCAATTTCCAACCACAAAAAAGAAAGAAATGTAATTAAAAAAACAACAACAAATAAATTAAGTACAGTGTGGTCAGGAATTAAATGGAAGAGGAGATTCATTCTGGTTCCTTGTTAGCTGGCTGCTTGGATATTTATTTCCCTCTGAAGAACTACCCTCATAGGGGGCAGAGAAGAGGCAGGGTTGATGGTGGCTCATGGTGGGTATTCTCTCTGAAATCAGGTTGATGACCCAGAGGCTGCAGTGAGGGAGTTGGAAGCTCTCCTGGGGTTTCCGTTGCGTGTGGGTATTCCCAACACTCATCCTGTGAGGAAGACCATGGAAATTCCAAAAGATGCCTTGGAGAAGTACCTCAAGGGCTTGCTCGGGACCCAGACCACAGGTATGGAAGATTTTATGTTTGGGTGACTCTTCAAGACAAGGCATTCAGTCTGATTCTCACTTTCAAACCTTGATGAACACGCCAGCAACAGAGAATCAAAGTGGAGAGGAAAATAGCCAAGTGGCCTGGCATGTCCAAGTGCTGCATTTAGTTTTGCTTGGGTAGAAGCCTTGATCATCCACCTGAGAGTTTCACATAGCAGCATTCACCTTCCAGCAGCCAGCAAGGAGCAGGGAACTTGGGAGTACTTATGTGCACAGGGGGGTTATTGTTGTTAATTTTTTGAAACAACAGCCTGTTTTGTGAAGGTGACTTCCAAGCTTCATGACTTGAAGAAGTGACAGGTTGACTCCACCTCTTCAAAGGCCTGTCTCTTGATCCTTACATTTCACCTTCAGCAAAACAGGAACCTTGTGGGCTTTTGAAGAAATTTCTATTTGGTGATAAAATTTGCTTCACCCAGTGGATCCTCAGAAAAGGCTTTTATTTCTGGAGTTCCACATCAGGTCAGCATCTGGATTCTTGGTAGTGTTTCCACAGTGCTGAAGGGCTTGTTGTGACCAGGCCAGCTAACTCAGGCCAACTCCCATGTGAGCCTGCTCTCCTGACCAAGTGAAAGGAATACATGTTCAGAGGTTCATCTTGCTGTCAAGCTGAGGGCTAATTGGGTTCACCTGCACCTAGAGCCTGTGAAGGAGCCACAAAACTCACCTGGTGGGGTGGGGAAGTGCATCTCCTGAAAGCAGCTTTGGCTGAAGGTGAAGGCATCTGCTTAGATCCTTTCAGCTGTCCCTCCGGAGTCAGATGTGGCTTGGCCAAGTGTAGGCAAGGGACACCACAAGGGCACTTTTTTTCTTAGGCCTAAAGCATTCCATTTGCCTGATGGGTTGCCATGACTGTGCTTGTGGTTAATAAACAAAACTAAAGTGCTTTTGTTCATGGGGCAGGAATTGGCAAGAAGGAGAGAACTGGACACCCGTACAAAGTGAGAAAAGATTATGGTGTCAAGTGAGTGGCCTTTGCCACACTGTAGTAGCCTGTGATTCTGGAACCCCACTGGCAGGGTGAGCCAAGGGCTGAGTTGCTGTGGCACCAGGGGAAGGTGCTTTTCTTGTCCTGCCTCCCAGAGTGGGAGGATCTGGATCTCCATTCAGAACTCATTAGAAAGAAGGAATCTTTGGGCTGGGGTTGTGGCTCAGTGGTAAAGCATTTGCCTAGCATGTGTGAGGCACAGGGTTTGATTCTCAGCACCACCTATAAATAAATAAATTAATTAAATAATGGTCTATCAACAACTAAAAAATATTTTAAAAAAGAAAGAAAGAAGGAATCTTTGAGCCAGGTGCACATCTGTAATCCCAGCAGCTTGGGAAGCAGAGGCAGAAGGATGGCGAGTTCAAGGCCAGCATCAGCAATTTAGCAAGGTACTAAGCAACTTAGTGAGACCCTATCACAAAAATAAACAAAATTGGAGATGGAGTCGTAGCTCAATGGTAGAGTGCTTGCCTAGCTTAAGTGAGGCCCTGGGTTCTATCCTTAGCACTCCACAAAAATAAATAAAGGCATTGCATCCATGTGCAAGTCAAAAAAATTTTTTAATTGATTAATTAATTTGGGCTGGGGTTGTAGCTCAGTGATAGAGCACTTGCCTAGCAAATGTGAGGCACTGGGTTTAATCCTCAGCACCACATAAAAATAAATAAATAAAATAAAGGTATTGTGTCTATCTACAACTAAAAAAAAATAATAAAATAATGCAATAAAAAAAGTTTAAGAAAGGGCTGGGGATGTAGCCCAGAGGTAAAGTACCCTTGGGTTTAATCCCCAGTAACAGGAAAAAAAAAAAAAAGAAGAAAAGCAATATCTGTGCAAACCTGGGCTCCAGATCCTCTTGGAATGTCTGTTTTCTAACTCGCAGGCCCAATGGAGCTCCTTCAGTTTGATCACGGGCAGTCAAACCCGACTTACTACATCAGGCTGCCCAGTCATCAGCTGGTTCTGAGGAAGAAGCCACCAGGGACTCTCCTTCCATCTGCCCATGCGATAGAGAGGGAGTTCAGGTAAATTCTTAGGGGCCAGGGTGGGGGTGGCACCATGCACAAGTTCAGCCCTAAAACATGGATTAGCTTCTATAAGAGAGCTTTAAGACATTTACAACTGCTGCTATGAATCTCCACCGTATTTCAAATAAGGACATGCAATCTAATTTGTTTTGTTTTGTTTTTGTTTTGAGGCAGATCTTGCTATGTTGCCCTGGTGGTCCTTAATTCTTGAGCTCAAGCAATCCTCCTGCCTCAGCCTCCTGAGTACCTAATTTAAAAAAATATATATTTATTTTTTAGTTATAGGTGGACACAATATTTTTATTTTTATGTGGTGCTGAGAATCAAACCCAATGCCTCACACATGCTAGGCAAGCACTCTCCCTCTGAGCCATAACCCTAGCCCCTGAGTACCTAATCTTTTAAAAAATATTTTTTAAGTTGTAGGCGGACATAATACCTTTAATTTTGTTTATTTATTTTTATGTGGTGCTGAGGCTTGAACCCAGTGCCTCACCCATGCTAGGTGAGCGCTCTACCACCGAGCCACAACCCCAGCCCCTGAGTACCTAATTTTATTTATAAGTTTATCTTTTCTTTTCTATAACCAAATCTGTAGGAGGCTACACTCTTTTAGAACCTATAAAAGAAAAAAAATGTCAGGGTCAAAATACTTTTTAATCTTGCCCTTTTTTTTGTGGCACTGAGAATTGAACCCAGGGCTTTGTACATGTTAGACAAACACTTTACATCCCAGTTCTGTCTTATGCACCTTTTTTTTTCCTTCTGTACCAGAGGTTTGTTTAATCCAGGTGTGTTTTACTACTGAGCTCCATCCCCAGCTCTTCAAAAAATTTTTTCTAATTTTTTTATTTTAAGACAAGCTCTTACTAAATTGCTTAGGGCCTCACTAAATTGCTGAGGCTGGCCTTGAACTTGTGATCTTCCTGTCTCAGCCTCCTGGGTTACTGGGATTATGGGTATATACTGCCCTTCCTGGCATAAGGACTTTTAAGGAAAGATTGAAATCTTTAAGACCATTAGTGTTTTTTTATTTTGTTTTGTTTTTTGTACTGGAGATTGTACCCAGGGGCACTTAACCACTGAGCCACATCCCCAACCCTTTTTCATAATTTACTGAGACAGGTCTTGCTAATTTGCTGAGGCTGGCCTTGAATTTGCCATCATCCTGCCTCTGCTGAGCCACTGAGTTACAGGCATGCACCACTATGCCCCACTCAAGAACTTTAGTCTTAAAATCAACACATTAAGCTGAGTTTGGTGGTACATGCCCGTAAATAATCTCAGTTACTTGGGAGATTGAGGCCAGAGAGCTACAAATTTGAGGCCAGGCTCTGCAACTTAATGAGACCCTGTCTCAAAATTTAAAAAAAATTAAAAGGTCTGAGTATGTGGCTCAGTGGTAGATAGAGCATCACTGGGTTTAATCCCTAGTACCAGGGGAAAATTGAACATTAGTGGGGTTATAGCCAAAACAAGCATGGCAATGAGTTGGTAACCATCAGAGCTGGATGATGGGTACATAAGGGTTTATTATACAAATCACTCTACTTTTTTTTTTGTTTAGACTGGGGATTAAACCAAGGGATGCTTTACCACTTAGCTACTTGCTCAGTCCTTTTAATTTTTAATTTTTATTTTGAGACAGGGTCTTGCTAAGTTGTTGAGGGTCTTGCTAAGTTGCCAAGTTTGGCCTTGAACTTGTGGTCCTTCTGTCTTGGCCTCCTGAGTTGCTGGGATTGTAACCACCACTCCTAGCCAAAGTGCTCTAGTTATGTATATGTTTAAAATTTTCTAGTATAAAAGGTTTATGAGAATAAAGATATTATAACCATCCCAAGTAAAATAGATTGTTTGCATAGAGCAACATTTAAACAAACAAGTTTGAAACAAATCTAGCTCCAAATCAATTAGAGAATTAATACAAACCATGAAAGAGCTCTAGAGTGACTGGAAAATTTCTGCCCTGTTCTTCCTTCTCACTGGCAGCCCATTATGTTCTACAAAAGGAGTCCCAGAGTCATGCAGGAGAATGTGACTCTTGGCCGCCCTCCTTCCACCTCCAGGTTGTTTTCTATCTCTCTTCTTCACTTTTGGGATCTTAGAATATGATTTGTCCAGGTGTTGTGAGGACTGCTGACTGATGATTATGAAGGCTTAGGGGTTCCTCAGAGGAGAAAAGCTATAGCTCTTTCTAAGAATTTATATAGATGCGCCCATGTAATACCAGGTGTGTTTTTGTAGACAGAAGCCCAAGCTGTAAAACTGCTGCTCTCTTTTTTGTGCACAAATTCTCCCTAACCAATCCCAGAGGTACCAAGGAATTTTGGAGTAATAGAAAGACATTCAAAATATCTAGGCATGCTGGGTGCAGTAGCACATACTTGTAATCCCAGTGGCTCAGAAGGCTGAGGCAAGAGGATCCTGAGTTCAAAGTCAGCCTCAGTAATTTAGTGAGGCCCTAAGCAACACAGTGAGACCCTGTAAAAAGGACTGGGAATGTGGCTCAGTAGTTGAGTACCCCTGGGTTCAATACCCAGTACTTAAAAAAAAAAATCCAGACACGCATGGAATTTCCATTGTGTTAAAAAATAAACCATATTTGAAGATAAAACAATGCAGTACCTGCTTATAGATTTGAACTATTCTGAAAAATAATATGATACAATTCATTAAAAGCCTCAGAGTATTCATACTTGAAGATTTAATAATTTCGGGTTGGGGTTGTGGCTCAGTGGTAGAGCGCTCGCCTAGCACATTTGAGGCCCTGGTTTGATCCTCAGCACCACACAGAGATGAATGGATGAAATGAAGGTATTATATTCAACTACAATTTTAAAAATAAAATAATAAATAAATACAGTTTAAAAAAGATTTAATAATTTCAATTTTTGGTACCTAAATGACTAATTCTAAATAGGAAAAAAATCTTTATGCATGAATACCCTCACCATAGTGTTGTTTGTTTGGTTGTTTGTTTGTTTTTCTTCTTCTTTGTGGTGCTGGGGATTGAACCCAGGGCCCTGTGCATGTGAGGCAAGCACTCTACCAACTGAGCCACATCCCCAAGCCCATAAGCGTTGTGTTTTTATTTATTTATTTATTTATATGTGGTGCTAAGGATCAAACCCAGTGCCTCACATGTGCAGGGCAGGTGTTCTACCACTGAGCTATAGCCCTAGCCCCCATAGTGTTGTTTCTAATAATAAAAACTTTGAAATCCACGTGGGGTAGAATAATCAGGAAATGATTATGTAAACCTCAATATATCTACTTGTTTCTACAACAGTAATAGGAGTAGCTAACATTTGTAGAATGTTTAGTACTTACCAGGTGCTATAAGCAATGCTTAAATGAAAGCATTCTCCCAATTCTGATTTGCTGTGATCATGATCCCCACTTTATAGCTGAGAAAAGTGAGATGTATAAAGGTAAAGGGCACATACAGGGCACACACTGGTTAAAGGAGTGGTAGAGTCTGGCTGCATAGCCAGACACTGGGATTCTATAGCCCAATTTTTTAAAAAAATGTTATGTATTATTATTATTTATTTATTTGTGATACTGGGGATTGAACCCAGGAGTACTTTACTGCCGAGCTACATCTCCAGTCCTTTTTACATTTTATTTTGAGGCAGAGCCTCACTGAGTTGCTGAGAATCTCACTAAGTTGCTGAGGTTGGCCTTGAATTTGCAAACTCCTGCCTCAGCCTCCTAAGTAGCTGGGATTACAGGCGTGTGCCATCACACCTGGCTCTATAATATTAGTGATTATGCTGCTATTATACCCAATTAAATATGCTTTAATAATAGAAAAATGTATATGACAAAAGTTAGGAGAATAAAGACAAATTCAAGTGTATAATTTTTTAAAGACATGCATAGGAAAAAAATACTGGAAATGAACACTTTAAAATGTTAACCATAGTCATGTTTGGGTAGCCTGTTAGTATTCTTCACTTGCACAGAACCCACCTAGCTTTACTTAAGCATTCAAGAAAAAAAATAGGGAGGATGATATGATAAAACATTTGATTTCATAATTTAAATCTTTCAGCCATGGCTGGGTCCAGGGCTCAAATAATGGCACCAGGGCCCACATGTTCTTTCTCTCTCCATCTCTGGTTTTTTCTTTCCTTGAGAACCCCAGTGTATGTTTCTGCGTATCTCCTGAGACTGACTCATGGCCCATTTTGTGTCAGAGGTCTATCCCTGGACTATTCTGTGACTGGGAGGTGCATTGACTAGACTGGTCATGTCTTGATCTTGTGCCCATCTCTAGAACCTGGGTTTGATTCAGTCTCACTTAGACCCTGTGGACTGAGAATGGGGAGGACATTTCCCAAAGAAAAGTCTGAAAAAGCAAAAGGGGACTGGATACCAGGTAGGCAGTAAAAGCAGCCAGTTGGTGATAAGACTATGGGTAATTATCTTTCTTTTAAAATTAAAAATTTTCATATAGTTTATGGAATTCACCAGTAGATCCTTTAGAGCTAGGAGTTTTGGAGAAAGTTTTAAATATTAATTCAACTTAATAAACAGAGTTATTCAAATATCTCATTTCATCTCTTTTTAGTTTTGATTAGTTATAATTTCTAAGGAATTTCTTCACTTAATCTAAGTTGTCATAGTTATTGCTCATAATATTCCTTTATTATCCTTTTAATATGTATCGAATCTGTGGTGATATCCCCTCTTTATCATTTCTGATATTGATCTGTACTTTGTATCTCTCTCAAATCAGTCTAGCTAGGTATTTATCAATTGTCTTGATATTTCCAAATAACTTTTATTTAGTTTTGTTAACTTTTCCTGTTGTCTCTTTTCTATTCCATTTTATTTCTTCTCTTTATTCCTTTATAGCTACTTACTCCAGGTTTATTTTTACCTTCTTTTTTTAAAAAAATTTTTTAGACGTTGATGGACTTTTATTTTATTCATTTATCTATATGTGGTGCTGAGAATTGAACCCAGTGCCTCACACATGCTAGGCAAGCACTTTACCACTGAGCCACAACTCCAACCTATTTTTAGCTTTTTGAGGTATAATCTTAGATCATTTACTTAAAATCTTCCTTCGTTTCTAATAAAAGCATTTAAAGTTATTTCTAAGTACTTCATTAGGTGCATCTTACAAATCTGACCCATTATTATTATTATTATTATTATTATTATTATTATTATTACAGTTGAAATGTTTTCTGATATCTCTTGTTATTTCTTCTATATCTCATGGTTTAATTATAAATGTATTAATTTTGCAATATATGTTTTTATCTAGATATAAGTTCCTAGTTTTATTCTAACAAAGTGTGAGAAGTACTCCATATGATTTCAATATTTATTGAAACTTATTGAGATTTATTTTACAGACCAGCATGTGAAAATAATACATGTTCTGCAATTGCTGACCAAATGTTCTATAAATGCCAATCGGGTCAAGTTTGTCAATAATTTTCAGATCTGTGTCTTTAGATAAACCTGATTTTGTTGGCCTATCTGATTACTGACAGAGGGTGATAAATCTCAGCTGTGTGGGTTTGTGCATTTTCATTTTACGTGTTTGAAGTTCTGTTAGGCACGTGTGCACTTAGGACTATAGCGTCTTCCCAATGCATCATTCTAAAATGTTCCTCCGTGTCTCTGGTAATTCTCTTGTCTTAAAATCAATTTCATCTGATATTCAAGTATGCCACTTTCTTGTGTTTACCAGTTACACAGTACTAATCTTTTCCATCCTTCCATTTCCAACCTACCTATGTTTTATGTTTCAAGTATGTCTTTTGTAGACCTCATATAGTTAGGTTATGCTTTTCTATGCACCCTGACAACTTCTGTCTTTTTAAAGTTTTTTTTTTAGTTGTTGATAAACCTTTATTTTATTTATTTATATGTGGTGCTAAGAATCAAACTCAGTGCCTCACATATGCCAGGCAAGTACACTACCACTGAGCCACAACCTCAGCAACTTCTGTCTTTTTATTGCAATGTTTTACCTATCAAATTTAAGGTAATTATTGATTTGTTTGATTTAGGTCCATAATTTCACTAATTGGTTTCTGTTCATTCTACTTGTTTTGTTCTTTTTTTTTTCCTGCAAAAGGCTTAGTATCCCAGAAGGAGGGCCCCCTGGGGCTCACATCCCAATAATATAAATTTCCAGAGAATTGTTTTAGTCTTATTATTTACTTCTGAGTCATTTGAATTTTTTTTTTCAGTTTTAGGTGGACACAACATCTTTATTTTATTTTTATGTGGTGTTGAGGATCGAACCCAGCGCCCCGCACATGCCAGGCGAGCATGCTACCGCTTGAGCCACATCCCCAGCCCCATTTGTGTGTGTGTGTGTGTGTGTGTGTGTGTGTGTGTTGCTGGATTGAATCCAGAACCTCACACATGCTAGGCAAGCACTCAATCACTGAGCCACGCCCCATCCCCAGTGTACCATTTCTTAAATCAGAAAACTAAATTCAAGAAAATGAGCAGTTGTGCTCATTTTTATTTGTTCTGCAGGATAATGAAAGCCCTTGCAAAAGCTGGAGTGCCAGTCCCCAGAGTTCTTGACCTCTGTGAAGATTCAAGGTAAAGTTCAAATGTATTTTTGCCATTTCAAATTCAGACTACAGGAGAGAAAGCCTATTTACTAACTCAGATGCCAGTCTGTTAAATACAAATAAATTTTGGGTCAGAGAAAAAAGAAACTATGCAGCAGACTCCCTCAGAAGTCCAGATCTTGAAGCTATCCTGAAAGAAGAAGACACGTCTGCTCTTATGGGGATTGATAGCAAATAGCTTTTTTTAGCTTTTAAAAAATATATATCCATCTTGTTTCATGTTGCTCTTTTTTAATTAAAATTTTCATTGTGGTCTTTCCAATCTGTTTAAAACTGCTTTGTAACATGCTTTTTGAGTCTCTCTTTTTTCTCAACTTTTACATTGTGAAAAATTTGAAAAAAAAAATTGGGGAGGAGAAAAAATAACGTCCACTTATTTATACTTCATCTAGATTAAAATGTTAAAATTTTCCACATTTGCTCTCTGCATGTGGAGGTAGATATGTGTATGTGCATGTGTATATGTATTTTTTTTATTTGTATGTATGGAATGTTTTTTTGTCTGAACCTTTTGAAGTAAGTTGTAGATAGTATGCATCTCTTAAGAATAAAGATGCTAAGGGGCTGGGGCTGTAGCTCATGATAGAGCACCTATCTTGCTCATGTGAGGCACTGGATCTGATCCTCGGCACCACATAAAAATAAATAAATGAAAGGCTGGGGATATAGCTTAGTTGGTAGAGTGCTTGCTGCACATGCAAAAGGCCCTGGGTTCAATCCCCAGCACCACGAAAATAAATAAATAAATAATAAATAAGTGAAGATATTGTGTCCATCTACAACTAAAAAAATTTTTTTGAATAAAAAAGAAATGTACAGATGAAGAATTAATTATAAAAAAATAATAAAGATGCTTTCTTTCGGGGCTGGGGTTGTGGCTCAGCAGTAGAGCGCTTGTCTCACACGTGTGAGACCCTGGGTTCAATCCTCAGCACCACATAAAAAATAAATGAGTGAAATAAAGGTATTGTGTCCAACTACAACTATAAAATAAATATTTTTTAAATGCTTTTTTTCCAACCAGAGATAAGAGAGGAATCATCCTCAAAAGGCTGGTTCCACGATGCCCTGAAGACCTCAAAATCTGAGGATGCTCAAGTGCCTTGTGTGGAATGGCATGGCATTTGCATATGACCTCTACACATCTTCTTTTTATTTTTATTTTTAACTCATCTTTAGGTTACTTATAGTATGTCATTTTACATTAGGTTACTTATAGTATGTCATTTTACATAGCACCTAACTATTTACGTGGCACACTACGTCAGGGCTATGGAAACAGTTGTTACACTATATTGTCTAGAGAATAGTGACTAGGAAAAACTCTGTACATACTCAGTATAGATGTATATTTTTCCCCCAAATAATTTTGATCAATAGTTGATTAATTCCATTTATGCAAAACGCATAGATCTAGAGAGCTGGCTGTACTTTAATATTATTTAATATCTTTTTAGTCTGTGTTCAAATTTCCTTAGTTAGCCCATGGATATATTTTATGACAGTTTTTCAAATCAGAACAAACATTTAAAATGATGAAATTTTCAAAACTACTTTTTAGAGTAGTAAACTGATTTTTAGTAATGATTAACAAATGGCTTGATGAACTATCAGTGGGTTATTGCGCTACTGTCAGGCAGGATATGTGCCATTCAGACCACTAAATAATGGTGAAAATAACATCAATAACAAGAAGGGATACACATTGACCCTTCACTGGACCCAGATACCATACCAGATACTCTATTTGTTCCTTTAGTTCTTAGAACTACCTTTGTGTGTGTGCGCTACTGGCAGCCCTACATTTTTATTGTTATTTTGAGACAGAGTCTCACTAGGTTGCTCAGGCCAGCTGTGAACTTGCAATCCTCCTGCCTCAGCCTCCTGAGTTGCTGGGATTGCAAGTGTGTGCCACCGTGCCAAGCCTTAAAGTAACCCTTGGAAGTGGATATGTTTTACAGATTACCAACAACAAAGCTTCAGAGAGGTTTAGTAAGATTCTCAGGGTCACACTATTAGTAAAGTACAGAGAGGTAGGATTTAAGTCTGGTTCTTTTTTCTTTTTCTTTTTGAGTTGTATATGGACACGATATCTTTATTTATTTATTTTATGTGGTGCTGAGGATCAAACCCAGTGCCTCACATGTGCTAGGCAAGCACTCTACCACTGAGCTACAACTCCAGCCCTTAGGCTGGTTCTTTATGACCCCAAAGCCTCCTCTCTCAACCATGCTGCTTTATGTATTATCACATTTAAGCCCATTCCAATGACTTCTACAGATGGGCCTAAAAGAACAGGTGTGTGCATGTGTGTGCGCATGTGGGTGTGTTTGGGAAGAGTTACTTCTAACACCTGTACTTAGGTTCAAAAGAAAAAGGAAATGTGCAGTATGTAAATATGCATATATCCTTTATGTCCAGTATTTTGGGTCTGAGCTCTTCCCCAGCAATCCACATCCCGTCTGTGCACAGAAACTGTAGGAGCAGTGTTGTGGCTGATAGCCTACCACATTATGCATTGGGTCCCTTAAGTTCGTCTCTGTCCATCCCAGTGTCATCGGCACTCCCTTCTATCTGATGGAGTACTGCCCAGGCCTCATCTACAAAGACCCCTCTCTACCAGGCTTGGAGCCCAGCCAGAGGCAAGCCATATACACTGCCATGAACAGAGTCTTGTGCAAAATTCACAGTGTGGACCTCCAGGCTGCAGGCCTTGACGACTATGGGAAGCAAGGTAAGCAGGTGCCACATGGATCTGAATGGTTTGTTAACAACCAAGTGTTTGATGAACATAAGAAGGACTTTAAAATTTAGGTTCATCTTTTTTTTGTTTGTTTGCAGTGCTGGGGATGGAGCCCAGGCCTTGTGTATGCGAGGCAAGTGCTGTACCACTGAGCCACATCCCCAGGGCCACCACCCCAGTTCCTTTTTTATTTCTTATTTTGAGACAGGTTCTCACTAAATTGCCCAGGCTGGCCTCTCACTTGTGATCTTCCTGCCTCCTGAGTATCTGGGATTGCAGATGTGTGCCCCCATACCCAACATGTTCTCCTTTTCATCTATTTTCTTCGTTGATCTTTTTAACAAGGATAGGTTTTTAAAATGTCGTTATGCCAAGATATTACATTTGTATATTTTGTTTCTGCTTTTTAAAAATTTTTTTTTTAGTTTTAGGTGGACATACAATATCTGCTTTATTTATTTTTATGTGTTGCTGAGGATCAAACCCAGTGCCTCACATGCGCGAGGCAAGCGCTCTACCACTGACATACTGCCCCAGCCCTTGTTTCTGCTTTTTAAAAAATATTTATTTTATTTTAGTTGTAGTTGAACACAATACCTTTATTTACTTATTTTTATGTGATGCTAAGGATTGAACCTAGGGCCTCGCAGGTGCTAGGCGAGTACTCTACCACTGAGCCATAACCCTAGCCCTCTGCTTTTTTAAAAAAAAATTTTTTTTAGTCATAGATGGACACGATACCTTTATTTTGTTTGTTTATTTTTATGTGGTGCCAGAATATGAACCCAGTGCCTCACATGTGCTAGGGAAGTGCTCTGCCACTGAGCCGTAACCCCAGCCCATCTACTTTTTTTTATGTATGAGAATTCCAGTTTCTTCTCATTCTTGCCAGCATTTGATACTATCAAGTTTTATTTTTCTTTCTCTCTATTTTTTTTTTTTTTTTTTTTTTGAGATGAGGTCTTGTTGTGTTGCCCAGGCTGGCCTTGAACTCATAGGCTGGAGTGATCCTTTTGCCTCAGTATCTGAGATCATAGGCACACGCCACTGTACCCAGAGGACTTATATATTTTATGTTCCCAAAAGCTCTACGAGAACCATCTCAAGATAAGGGAAGTAAGGTACAGAAAGGTTAAGAACTGTCCTGAGATCACACAGCTAGTAGATGGCAGACCTGAGATTTAGCTCTGGCAGTCTGGCTCTAGAGTTTCTGCTCTTAAGTCACCTACCCACTGTCGTTTAAAGGCTATTAGAAAATGCACAAGATCTCAAAGAGGGCTGGGGATCAGGCTTGGAGGCTATGTGCCAGGGAACAGTGCCCAGACTACCCTGAACCAGCCAGAATGGCTGGTGGTTTCCAAGTAGAGCAGCAGGAGCATCATGTGGCAAATTCTCCAGTCATAGGAAGGTGTTCAGAGACGCCATGGCCGCAGAGCATTTCCAAGGGATTCGTTGCATTGGATAATTTTCAAAACCTTTGGTGGTTATTGAAATGGCACACCACATTCTGATCTTCTTTCTCTTAGGGGACTACCTTCCTCGCCAGGTGCAAACCTGGACTAAGCAGTACCGAGCTGCAGAAACCAGCACCATCCCATCGATGGAGAGGCTCATCCAATGGCTGCCTGTCCATCTTCCCAGCCAACAGAGGACCACAGTGGTGCATGGGGACTTCAGGTAGACACTGTTGCCAGGGGTGTGAATATTAGATGTGAAAAGTGATGGGCAGGGCACTGGAAGGGGGAAATGGAGCAATTGGTCTTAGCCCAGTCCATGGATGATAACTATTCCTGTTACAGAGTTCCTTCCCCTTTTAAAAAAATTTTTTGTAGTTATAGATGGACAGAATTTAATTTAATTTTATTTTTTAATGTGGTGTCAAGGATCAAACCCAGTGCCTTACAAGTGCTAGGCAAGCACTCTGCCACCGAGCTACAGCCCCAGTTCCTCCCCTTTAGGCAGGATTTCTCAGCCTTACATTGTGACATTTTGGGTTGAGCATTCCTTTGTGGGGGTGGGGGCTGCTCTACATTGTAGAATAGCAAGCATCATCTCTGGCTTCTCCTTGCTAGATGCCAGTAGCACTTCCCCCACCAAGTTGTAGCCACCAAAAAATGCCTACAGACAAAGTCCCATGAGCCCCAAGTGGACAGCATCACTTTGAGAGGAGAATCGCTGCTGTAAGGTCAAGCAGGGCAAAGGTGCCTCTTGCCTCCCATGAGGTAGGGATGGACATTCACCTGGGTGTGGAGGGAGAGGAGGAAAGGGAGTGATGTAGTGCCTTGGGGTACACTCCATGCCTGTCGCCTGGCTGGCACTGTAAGTCGAGTGTACCTTGCATCTGGATGTGTGTCCAGCTCTGATTACTGTCTCTGCTGCCAACACAGCCCTTGAGGCACTTGGTAGTTTTCTGTTTTCTGTTTCCCAGCAGCACCTGCAAACCTGATTTTGATACACATGTCTTATTTGGGCCCCTGATCCATTTGGTAATTTTCTTTCCCTTCCTGGGAAGTTGTGCCTCATATTTTACTTATTTATTTTGGGGGGATAAAACTCAGGGAGGGCTTCATTCATACTAAGCATGAACTTTACCCCAAGCCACACCCTAAGCACCTTTGTGCCTGTTTTGAACAAGGCTAGATAGGCTAAATATAAAGACATTACCTCACTTTCCATGTCAGATTGGCCGTTCTTGGCCTGCTGGACCTGTGTCATTTACTTTTGACTCCTTTCTTTAGCCACCCTTGGTGATCCCCTGGATCTGAGTAGAAGCTGAGCTTTGTCTACATCACAGGGTCATCCATAGGAATAGGGTCTGTTTGCTCTTGCATGTGTCTCTGATGGACTGGACCAAATAATGTCCTCATATCGCCTTGAGCTTGAACTGAGTTGCTGTTGACCCCCTTTTCTATCTTCTTCCTCCACTTAGGATGGCAAGTGGCACCTTGCCATATGGCACACTTCTTGCCAATGATGCAACCTATCCCTTTTGGTGGGGAAAAGTGCCACTAGCCCACAACAGCCCCATGGACCTTGCCTTTAACTCTCTTTGCATTTCAAATGTTCACAAATGTGATTTGCTTTTTTAAAAACTTTTTTTTTGTAGTTGTAGATGTACAGAATGCCTTTATTTTTATGTGGTGCTAAGGATCGAACCCAGTGCTTCACACATGCTAGGCAAGTGCTCTACCACTGATCTACAGCCCCAGCCCTGATTTACTTATTTTTAAATGGTCCTTTTTTTTTCCCTAAATATTTATTTTTTAGTTGCAGTTGGACACAATGCCTTTATTTTTCTAATTTTTTTTTAATGTGGTGCTGAGGATAGAACCCAAGCCCTCGCCTGTGCTAGGAGCGCTTGGCTCCACTGCTGAGCCACAACCTCAGCCCCATAATGGTACTTTTTAAAATAACTTTATTTTATTTTATTTTTTAATGTGGTGCTGAGGATGGAATCCAGTGCCTCACACATGCTAGGCAAGTGCTGTACCACTGGGCTACAGCCCCAGCCCCCACCAATATGATTTAAGTGCAGCAGCAGGCAGGAGACATCCAGTGGTGGTCTGAGAACCACCTTCCTTAGCTGGAGTGAAGTATGAGGGTCCTTTTTTTAAATATATTTTTTTAGTTGTTGATAGATCTTTATTTATTTATATACATGGTGCTGAGAATCGAACCCAGTGCCTCACACATGCGAGGCAAGTGTGCTATCATTGAGCCCCAGCCCCAATCCGATGAGGGTCATTTATGTTTTTAATTTTTTTTATTTTTTTAAAGAGGGAGAGAGAGAGAGAGAGAGAGAGAGAGAGAGAGAGAGAGAGAGAGAGAGAGAGAGAGAGAATTTTAATATTTATTTTTTAGTTCTCGGCGGACACAACATCTTTATTTGTATGTGGTGCTGAGGATCGAACCCGGGCTGCACGCATGCCAGGCGAGCGTGCTACCGCTTGAGCCACATCCCCAGCCCCCGGTGAGGGTCATTTATGATGACACTTTCCAGAAAGGCATCCTGTTATTTCAGAGAGCATGCTGACACTTACTGATGAACACTTACACATATTTCTATCTGTTGGTAGGTGGAAGAACATTTCTTGTTCGGAACAGGTGCTAGTGGGAGCATAAACTGGTGCAATTACTTTGAAAATAGCCAGTAATGTAGAAGATGGGGACAAGGCCACAAGCTGTAATTCCTCTTCTAGAGGAGTATTTGCGCCTGTGTACCAGGAGGCTCAGCAAAAGCATTACGTTTTGCTCATGCTTGTAATTGTAACACATGATAAACCATGGTTTGGTGGTATATTAGAGTTCAGTAAATAAACTAATTTAATTAATCACACATAAATCATCACAAGTAAATTCAAGAAGATAATGCTGGATAGAAAAAATACAGTGTGATATCACATGCAAATTAAAAGGCTTGAAAGAATGCCAGGTATGACTTATAGGTTCAGGCATAGCTAAGAGAAATATTGAAATATCTCAAATTCATACATACCAACTTCAAGATGACAGTTTTCTTTGAGAATGGTGGGGAGCTAAGGGAGGGAGCCTTATGTTTCATGTTTTAAAAATTTGAAGGAAATACAACAAAGAAGTAGATATAACATCTGTTAACTCTGGAAGATGGGCACCTGGATTTTGTTTATCATTCCTTATTGTTCTGCATGTTTGGTAATGACTTTATCTTTTAAATGAAGCATACATTAGGGCTGGGGTTGGGGCTCAGTGGTAGAGCTCTTGCCTCACATCAATTCTCAGCACCACATATAAATGATAGATGAATAAGATAAAGGTCCATCAACAACTAAAAAAAATAAAAATAAAAATAAAACATACATTAGATCCCTGGTAGGAAACCAGATGACTCAGGCCATTTGAGGCATTTAGCACGGGTGCAGCATGGTACAGGAACCACTAAGCCTGGAACCCTGGGATGGCCACGGTGCAGAGTCTGAACTACCTTGGGTCTGCGGGGCCAATGTGCTCCAACTGCTACTGTGGCATACACACTGCTGCAAAGCCAAGTGGATGGAAGTGGTAACAGGAATTAGTTTGTGCACTCGTCTGTGGTCTGGGGACAGGTGTCTGGGGGTGGCTCTCAGCAGGACCTGGAGTCATCTGCATGCTGACCTGTGCTGGGCTTCTGAGCTGCTCTCTGTCCCTGTGGTTTCACCCCAGGCTGGTGATTGCTGGGTAGCTGGACTTTGTATCTGGCAGTGCAGGGATCCAAAGGTGTGTGTTCCAAGAGTGGGGGATGAGAGGAAGCATATCACTCTTTCTGCCTTGGTCTAGCCCCAGGAGTACTTCAGGTTTACTTCTTCCCACTTTATATTTGTTAAAAGCCAGGTGCTTCAAGGGGTGAAAAATTAGACTACCTTTTGTGGCAGGAATGTCAAAGAATTTGCTGAACTGTTTTAGAATTATCACAGAGAGGATATGATTACCAGAATCCAGAGAGGGTAGCTACGTGGAGAGGGCCAAATGGCCTGAGCCCTGGCCCTTAGCCCCTGTTCAGTTCTCTGTAGGGATGGACTGGGGAATGAGGTGGCAGGACCACTTCTTCTTCTTCTTCTTTCTTTTTGGTACTGGGTTTTGAATTCAATGGCACTCGACCACTTAGCCACATCCCCAGCCCTATTTTGTATTTTATTTAGAGACAGGGTCTCCCTGAGTTGCTTAGTGCTTTGCCATTGCTGATGCTGGCTTTGAACTGATGATTCTCCTGTCTCAGCCACCTGAGCCACTGGGCCCACTTCTCATTGGCTGGAAGCCACAAAAACAGGGCAGCTCTGGCTTGACACAGAAAGAGCAGGGAAGGTGGGGAACAAGCCTGGACTTTTTCTGGCCCAGAATATACCAGGTCAGGGATCTTCTGACTGTCTGTCCATCCCATCTGTGGCTTTTCAGGCTCGACAACTTGTTGTTTCATCCAGACAAGCCAGAGGTGCTTGCTGTCCTTGACTGGGAGCTTTCTACCTTAGGCGACCCCCTTGCCGACGTGGCCTACAGCTGCCTCGCTCACTACTTGCCACCCAGTTTCCCCATACTGAGAGGTAGGATCTGCTGCTGTGGGCAGATGGGGTGGACCGGCTCCAGCTTTTGGGAGCTTCCTTGGCTGAGGCGAGCCATCGAAGTGTGGACCTGGTGGCTTGCGTAAAAAACACCACTGGAATGCATTCCTATCACATTTGAGGGAGAATGAGTGTAAGATGCATGTTAAGTGACAGGGACACCCACAGAGCACTGCTTGTGCTTTCATACAGCTGACTTCTATGGAATTTTTTTTTTCAGTACTAGGGATTGAACCCAGGGGTGCCCTACAGCTGAGCTGCATCCCTGGGACCTTATTTATCTATCTAATTTATTTCTGAGACAAGGTCTTGCTAAGTTGCTGAGGCTGGTCTCAAATTTGCTATCCTCCTGCCTCAGCCTCCTGTTGCTGGGATTACAGGCATGCACTACCGTGTCCAATGGACCTGCTTTTTTACACTTAATTGTATACTTTGGACATGTTTGCATGCCATTAAGTATTTTTGATAGCTTAATTTTTAGTGATAGCATTGGATTTTATCAATAGAATTAACTTAAAAGACATTTAATTTAATTCCTGTTGGGCTACTTAATGTTTCCAATTTTTTTATATTTCTTCTTCCCAACCCCACTCCCACAAAAAGGCAGGGAACATCTCTGTAGTAACGTCTTTGCTTATATATGTTACACTCATAGGAGCAAGTCCTAGGAACAGAATATATTGCATACATCTAAATCACCAACATATCACAAATGACATAAATCAGTGAATTTCTTAACTTGTAGTTATCTGTTTCATAGTTGGTGTGATTGCTTTTCAATGCCATTTTAGTCAAATGACTAGTTGAGAATAATACACGTCCGCCATGAACTGTAGTCCCAGTAGAATCAGAGGCCCCATTTCTTCCTTTTCTGCTAATTTATTCTGAAATCCATTAGTTCCCTGCATGGATTCCTGGAGGAGGAGGAGCCATTGAAGTCTTGAGCTAGTTGTGGTACTAACTTTGAAGAGACAGTGATTTTCAGGATTAAACTCTGCTGACCACAGGGGAGTGAAGGCACTAACCACCCAGGAACGGGGATCTTTCCCCTCAGGTGTCAGTGGCTGTGACTTGACTCAGCTGGGAATCCCCACTGTAGAGGAGTACTTCAGGATGTACTGTCATCACATGGGGACCCCTCCTGTGGACTGCTGGAACTTCTATATGGCCTTCTCTTTCTTCCGCGTGGCAGCAATCCTGCAGGGTGTCTACAAGAGGTCACTCACAGGTAATGGGAGGAGTCTCAGCCAACACAGCTCTTTCTCAACCACAGAGGCTTTGGGGGACAAGTTTGACCAGAATTTCATAAGATTGAGTTAATTCAATCATTCGTCATTAAATATATATATATATTTTTTTAAAGTATAATTACATATATTATAATAATATATAATTTAACATATTTTAATTTGTTTGGTACTGGGGTTTGAACCTAGGGACACTTAACCACTGAGCCATGTCCCCACTCCTCCTTTTTTTTTCCAGTATTGAAACAGGGTCTCACTAAGTTGCTTAGGGCCTTATTAAGTTGCTGAGGCTGGCTTTGAACTTGCAATCCTCCTGCCTCAGCCTGCCAAACTACTGGGATTATAGGTGTGCACCACCATGCCTCGCTAATATTTTCTTTAACCTTGCTTCTAATATAAAGTTATTATAGATTTTAAATTTTCTTACTCTTTCTCATTCTGTCTCTCTTTTTTTTTCTGTGCTAGTGATCAAACCTTTGGGCGTTGCGTATGCTGGGTAAGGCTTCCACCTCTGAGCTACACTCCTTAGACTTTATTTTTTGTTATTATTTAACAAAGGACTGTCTAGGCCTTTTTTTTTTTTTTTTTACTTGAGTCAGCCTCTCACTAAGTTGCTGAGGCTGGCTTGGAATTTGTGATCCTCCTGCCTCAGCCTCTCAAGTCACAGGATTTCAGGAGTATGCCACCATACCCAGCTTAGATTTTACTTTTTAAGCAATGGGGTCTCATTATATTGCCCAGTGGCCCCAAACTCTTGGGATTAAGTGTTGCTCCTGCCTCAGCCTCCCAAGTACCTAGGACTAGAGGTACATATCACTGCACCTGGCCTAGTTAGCTATCTTATAAGTACATAATGATATTGTGTGTTTTTAAAAGTCTTTGTCTTTAGACATAAATGAAATAGTTATAGATGAAATAATCCATTGTTTGGGATTTGCTTGAGAAAAATCCAGGACACTGGGGTTGGAATAGGAGGGAATGAACCAGATTGTTGAGACAGTTGTTGGAGGCAAGTGAGAGATACTTTTAAGTTCCTTATACTGTTCTGTCTGTTCTTGTGTATCTTTGAAATTTCTCAAAATTAAGAGTCAAAAATAAAAGGCAGGAGTAACAAACAAAAATAACCTATAACAAAAGTAACCTATCAGCAGGGTTGCCAGTACGAGGGCGCGTTCTCAGCTTCCTGGACAGTGACAAGCTGCTGGCAGCACACTGCTTTCAGCCAGGCTTGCCAGAGTCTTCTGAGAGGGGCAGCCGCAGAAGAGCAAATAGTCATTCATCCATTCACAACTCTGAGCCTCTCTGTGCCAGCACTGTGCCAGGTTGTCCAAAGTCATGAGCAAAACAGTGTGCCGGGAAAGGTAGGCAGGAATCCTTAGAAGTGATACTTTTCTCTCCCTTGGAAATTGTTCTAAGCACCACTCCCCATTTTTATTTTGGTTTTTCAAAAGAGCCAACCCAAAACATTTACTGAAACAGAACTGCTGATTCCTCTGGGGATGAACAGGCCTGACCCCCTATTGACATTTCCTTGCCAGCTGCCAGGTTTTGTCTGACTCTACTCCAGGGCCTTGGGAGAACTACATAGATTTTGCCCACAAAGAATTTCCCATTTTAGCCGGGCATGGTGCTGCAAGCCTGTAATTCCAGCTGCTCAGGAGGATGAAGCAAGATCACAGGTTTGAGAACAGCCTTTCAAAAAAAAAGGGCTAGGGGTGTAGCCCCTGGGTAGAACATTTACCTAGCATGCAAGAAGTCCAGGGTTTGATCCCCAGTACTTAAAAAAAAAAAAAAAAAAAATATATATATATATATATATATATATATATATATATATATGAGATCACTGACTTGGCCTCAAGCTGCCACATTTCCAAGATCCTATGAACCATAGTTGTGACTTCAAGCAAACCTGCTTGTCTGCCAGCACACATAGAGGGCTGTTCTAGGCCTGTAATCCTCTGAGCCTAATCGTACTCTCCCTCCCCTCTCACTGGGAATCAACCCAGACACACTGAGGAAGTGGCTTAGTTTCCTCACATAAAACTGGCAAAATCCATGATTTTTGTTTTTGTTTTGTTTTGGTTTTTTGTACCACGGTTTGAACTCAGGGGCACTCGACCACTGAGCCACATCCTCAGCCCTATTTTTCATATTTTATTTAGAGACATGGTCTCAATGAATTGCTTAGCATCTCACTTTTTGCTGAGGTTGGCTTTGAACTCATGATCCTCCTGCCTCCGCCTCACAAACTGCTGGGATTACAGGCGTGTGTCACCGTGCCCGGTGAAATCTGTGTTTTGAAAGAATGGATAAAAGTCATTCGGTGGAGTGGGGGATCCCAACTATATGAACACAACTATCATTTCTGTCCATTTGTCTTCTGTAATTGTTAAAGTCATTTTTGTTTGAACAGTTGTATGTGTTGCTGCCCTGGAAAATTGAAATTTGGGGAGGAATTATTTGTTTCAAAGGCATATTCTCTCTCTTTCTCTCTCTTCCTGCCCTCATTTCCTGGGGATATCAGATCATCGTTAGATTGAAGAGCAGGAGAGTGACCACAAGATTCAGTCCACACAGCCCACCTATATGTCACCTGCTTCCTTAATAAGTGGGTGCAGAAGTTTGAATTTCTTCTAGATGGCTGCTAAAAATCTAGAAAGAAAAAAGTGCTCAAGGCTGCAGCTTAGGTGGATGTTGGTGATGTGGTCTCTTCTGCTGGGATTACATTTGGGAAAATGAACCGGAAGCCCTGGCCTCATTCACCCCAAGTTCATTTAATGCCTCCCCCAGACAAAGCAGTAGCATCCTGCAGTGAGATCCATATACACAGAAGGAGACTGGGAGTGCACTTTGTGCTCTAATAGAAAATGAAAATCACCTGTAATAGTGGACTGAGGGGAGCATCTTTCCCCACAGTGTGCCGTGTCAAGCTGAGTGGAGAGGAGAGATGCATCCTCTGACCATGGGTCCTTCCTATGGGCCTGCAGCTCAAGGAAGGGGCTGCTGCTTCTTGACTGATTCCTAGGGCCTAGGTTCACTCCTAGCACCCAGAAGGGTCTCAGTAAGGACCTGTGAGGCTCAGTGGGCTACGTGTTCTGCTGCGGAGGAAAGAATGTGGTTCATAACTCAGGGACAGTGAACACCAAACCTGCCAGGAAGTAGTTCTTTTGAGAACAACCCATTGACTCAGAAGCCAAAAGTAAATAGGCCTCTGTGAAGAGCCACTTATTGATACATAGGGAATGAGGGAAACAGTCTTTTGGGGACGTGGAATGCTCATAATAAGATAAGACAGCCAGTTATTGAAACAAAGGAGAAGAAAAAAAAAGCTCACTGAAGAACAGTGTACACACAATAGCACGGTGGGTCTCCTAAGCGGCACTGAGTGGAGGGGCCATGTGTGTCCTCGGGTGATGTCCTAGAAAACAGACTAGAGGCCAAGGGCTGGGGAAAGGGTGCAGGGACACTGGGGAAGCTTAGGGGGATGGAAGTTTTCTGTTTCTTGATGGCAGTGGAGGTCACATGGAGGTCACCCCACTGTGAGTTCGTCACAATTCAAGAGTTGTGCACTAAGGAGGTGCATGTGCATTATGCCTTCATTTTTTACAAATAAGGAGAGAAATCATTAAGAAAAGTGTTGATGTGCATATTAAAAAAGGAGTGAGCTCTGAGGTTCTGGCGATGATTGTTAACCCAAAGGGCTGGCTGCCTAGAACCAGTCATTCCTGCGGTCAGCTGTGACACTCTGTCAGTCCCCTAGCAGAGGTGCTCAGCAGTAATGCAGGATCTCTTATGGCCCAATGCTGCAGCAGAAGTGGCTGGGGAGATGTTACTGATTGAATTCAGTTTCTTTAGGAAATGAAGAGGTAAAGAGCAAGGGATGGCAGACCTGAGTTCAACCTAAAACTTGAGCAAGCCACTGCCTCCTCTAAGATTCAGTGTCCTTGTCCCCAAAGCATGAATTCATGCCTTGGGAATTGGGTGAGCATAAATTATTACTAGTGAAACAACCTCTCCGAAATTAAAAGTTCTGAATTTTTCTAGCTCCTGAATTTCCTCATACTGAGAATGGAAACGAAAAGATTACCCCTGACCTAGGCGGGCACAAGGAAGCTGAAATTGACATGTTTTCTGGCTAGTACAAGCTTGCTAAATCTACATGTTTGCATCTCCTGATATTTGTTTCTTTAAATTGTAAACACTTCCCAGCTGGTGTGGTGGTGCACACCTATAATCCCAGCAGCTTGGGAGGTTGAGGAAAGAGGATCGCAGGTTTGAAGCCAACCTCAGCAATTTAGCGAGGCTGTAGGCAACCTAGTGAGACCCCCATCTCAAAATTAAAAAAATAAAAAGCTCTGGGGATGTTGCTCAGTGGTTAAGCACCCTTGGGTTCAATCACTGGTGTCAAAAAAAAATGTAAACATTTCTATAAACTAGGGAGAAACAGTTCCACTACTTCTACTCAAGTTTGATCAAACTGCATTCAATTCATTTTCCCTTTTTACGTTGTTTGTTTATCTTTTGTGTGGACAGCCAAATTGGGGATCCAGGGAGGGTCCCTGGCTGGGCTGCCAGTAACATTTGCAATGCCTGGTGGGAGCAAGCGCTCCGCCAGTGCTGGCTGCTGCTGATAGAATAACCTCAGCGCCATATGTCAACGTTATTGTTGAAGGGCCATCTGGGAGTAATCACTGCTTTTCTTCTGTTCTGCCTAGGTCAAGCAAGCTCAGCAACTGCTGAACAAAGTGGAAAGCTGGCTGAATTTGTAGCTAATCTGGCATGGGATTTTGCAGTCAAAGAAGGGTTCCGGGTTTTCAAAGAGATGCCAGCCTCCAAACCATTAAGAAGGTCCTACCACATGTGGGCTGGCTCACAGTCCCTGCTGAGCCCCAAGGGCAGAAGGAGTTACAGCTCTGTTCCAGGAGCTTCCCCAGCTCATGCCTCAAAGACAGCTCTGGTCATCTCTCCAGAGGGCCTCTCTTCACCGGTCAGAGAGCTGTATGACCGGTTGCAGAGGTTTATGGAGCAGCGTGTATACCCCGTGGAGCCAGAACTGCAGAGACACCAGGCCTCAGCGGATAGATGGAGCCCTTCCCCGCTGATAGAAGATCTCAAGGTGAGGCAGCCTGCGGAAGGAGAATTGCCTAGGCCTTGTTCACATGGCAGACCCTCATCTGTGCCCTTCCCAGGTGGGGAAGAGACAGGAGGGCTGAGTTGAATTACCTTGGCTCTCCATCATCATCAGAAAGAGCCAGCTCCAGATTATTCAGTTTTGGTCCCATGCTTTTGCTGGGTGACCCCTTCACAAGCTGAGACCTTAGGTGTGAAAGAAGAATTCTGGTTGCAGCTTAGAAAGCCAGGCAAGTGGGCTTCTGTTATGCAGGTTTGAATCAAGCAGATCTAAAACAATGAGCACAGTGGCTTGGGAGGCTGAAGCAGCAGGATTGCAAGTTCAAGGCTAGCCTGGGCAACCGTGTCTCAAAAATAAAAAGGCTGGGTGTATAGCTCAGTGGTAGAGCACCCTGGGGTTCAATCTCCAGTACCCCCCCCCCCAAAAAAATGTGATAAAGTTTCTCTGGAAGACCCATAATGTCAAAGTCACCAGGCCAGTCAATCAATTGTAAGCTGTGTTTGGTGTTGTCCTGCATGAAGGTGAGGCCACTTTAGCTGACAAACAGGAATATTGCTGTTCTTTGTCAAGGCTGACCCTGGATTGTGTTGGCTTTGAAGTTGTTTGAGATCTTCAGAAACACAATGCAAAAATTTTCTAAAAAGATAGCATTGTGCTGTGAGGTTTTTTGTAGTTACAAACCTATTGCAAAATTAAAGAAATTTCTAAGATGACAAAAGCACATAACATAAAAAGTAAAGAGTTCTTTAAAATTCTCTGCCCTCTGAGATAATTACTATCAGTGACTTGGTGTACTATGCTCCCAGCTTTTTCTATTATATACTGACTCATGATTATTCCTATGTTGTAATAAAATCGTTTTATACATTCCAGTCTTTTCCCATTTACTCACATGGAAACACAGAGATTGACCTCCAAGGGCTCTGTAGTGTGGGTGCACCATACTTTGTCTGACCCGTCCCTGGTTAAGGGTCCCAGGATGTTTTATTCAGAGGACATCTGAGTGTTAGCCACCAAAGCCAACCCTGGGCTCCGAAACAGCAGAGGACATTAGGTAGGCAGCTGACAACATGGCCAGGAACATGGAGGAGCAGCCAAGGGAAGGCAGGCCTGGCGGCACAGGAGGCTGCCTGCCTCTTCTCAGGATCCTCGCTTCCCGCTTCTCCCTGCCTGCCCCTCTTCTTTCCTTGTTCTAGTTCATCTGCCCTTTTTATCTTCGGTCATTACACTCTGAGCTAATTAACTCATGCACATAGTGTTTCTGGAAGCACATGGCCTGGCGGCCTGGAGAGCGGGCCCCGGGGGCCTCCCTATGGGAACAAGCAGCGCAAATGGTCACGTCCACAACCTCCAGGGTTCATGGCCCCCTGCCAGCTTCTCTGTCAGCCCCTTAGAGTCTGTGTCGCCTCATTTCATCTTCACAACCCAGGGAGGTGGTGTTGGCTGGGTGTGGCTGCCTGATCCTGTCCCATCTTCTATTGATATCAGCACCCAGTTTTACCTAGGGGCAATCCTCTTCCCCATTGGGGATAGTCTGGCAGAGCTGTCAGTCAAGATACCAGCCCAGCTCCCTGACAAGGAGTGGGCACATGAGCCAGGCCAAGCCAGCCAGGCTCCCTCCTGAAATTTCCAGTGGGAGCAGGGTTTTCAAGATGGAAAACAGTTGGGGCTTACTCATTCTACAGGAGTGGAGTCCCAGCAGGGCTGCCAGGTATCCCATCCTAGTGAGATCCTATAGGTGGCCCGGTTCTTGCCCATTTATGAGCCTCATTCTCTCACCTTCCTGTTTAGTTTGAGAGCCTGGGAGAACCTTCCCACTCCATTCCTTTTTTCCTTTAGTTGGTCTCTGTCCATTGCTGGGGCTGCAGCTTAATAGTCCTAACTGGGGTGGGGGTAGTCACATGGCCATTTTATGCCAGGACCCAGAGATCAAGTCTCTTGCCCAGTCTACCAACCAGTCATGCTGGGGCTGGGGCTAGGGCTGGGGCTGGGGCTGGGGCTGAGCCAGGGCTGACTGAAGGCTCAAACTCCTAACCCCCATCATAGAATTCCTGGCTCTCAAGCCCAGAGCCATATTTAAGAATCCAAGTTCCTTGTCTCAAGAACAAATGTTGCAGCTGGGTGTGGTGGCACACACCTATAATCCCAGAGGCTCAGGAGGCTGAGGCTAGAGGATCATGAGTTCAAAGCCAGCCTCTGCAAAAAGCAAGGTGCTAAGCAGCTCAGTGAGACCCTGCCTCTAAATAAAACACAAAATAGAACTGGGGATGTGGCTCAGTGATCAAGTACCCCTGAGTTCAGTCCCCCATACCCCTCAAAAAAAGCATTGCCCTGTCCCTGTTTTCACTTGGGCATCCCCTTGGGTACCTTCCTGTGCATGTACTACCCACACATCTGCAGGCTTACCCATAGCCAATAGCACTGACAAGTGTCATTGTTTTGGGTTCACACTGAGTCTTTGACCACCACCTTCTTCCCTCCCCAATCCCTTTCATTGTGTCCCATGAGTCAAAATTGAATACAGTCATTCTCTGTGGTTCCTTGACTCAGTTTTCCCATGATAGGAGAAAGCCAAGGCTGAAGGACTTTGGAACCTTTTCCTACCCTTGGAGACTGATCCTGAGAAAAAATATGGAGCAGGACTGACCAACATGGAGTATGCACATCTGTGTGAAGTCATGGGCACGTCTCTCTACGCTCCGGAGGTACCTTCTCTAAAATCTAAAATTTAGATTCTCTAAAATCTCCTTGGAGTGTGGGAGATTTTCCCCTGTGCCTCTAGGATGTCTGGTTGAGGGGCATCATCCAAATGTAAACCTCTTTTTGGGAGGGGGACGACTGCAAGCTGCTGGCTGGAGCCTGAGTAAGAAGATGACTGGGGGAAAGTCGCCCAGGGATAATGGGAGCCATGGGAATTTTCAGGTCCTGGCCCAGGTCCTTTTTCTCGAACAAGGAAAGGGTCCCTGGCTGGGTTCCAGGGGTCTGAGATTGTCTTTCAAAAATTTTACACATTTGGGCATTTCTACATCAGAGGGTCTAGTGAAGGGGTCCTACTCCACCACCGGTGGGGAATTTGAAGTTTTAGACAAGAACACGGGAGTCACTGATGTGCTCTTTGTCCTTTCAGATATTTAACTGCTCTGCTCCTGACACGGGGAATATGGAGCTCTTGGTGCGCTATGGCACCGAGGAGCAGAAGGCCCGCTGGCTGATTCCTCTGCTGGAGGGCAAGGCGCGCTCCTGCTTCGCCATGACAGAGCCCCAGGTACCCTGCTGGGCCATCCCCACTTGCTGGGCCCCATGTGGCCTCTGCCCACAGGGAATGCAGGCCGCAGGCAGCTCTAATCAGAATGTTCCCACGCAGGTTGCCTCATCAGATGCCACCAACATCGAGGCTTCCATCAGAGAGGAGGACGGCTTCTATGTCCTCAATGGTCACAAGTGGTGGATCTCAGGTATCAGGCCCGCAGCTTTCTTTCCAAGTGCCTGGCAGCCAATCAGCATCCACACGCCGTCTTGGGGTGCCTGGTCTGGGCCAGCTGCTTTCTCAGTTGACACAAAGGAGGCTCTATCTCTGTGCTTCCAGAAGAGGCACAAAGCCCCCAAACAGGAGGGAGCTGCTCAGTGTGCTGTCTCCAGTGCTGTTCTTGGGGGACACAGCTTCATAAGGTGACCACACGTGTGGCCCTCTCCCCCACACTCGCAAATGTGGCTCTGGGAATCTCTCCACTCTGCCCACTGCCTGTCTGCCTCGAGCAGCTGACCTTGGAGGGCTGGAGGCTACTTCCTGGTGGCTTCCCCTGAGTCCTGGGTCAGTTGTGTCATATCCCAGGGGCCCTTTCTGGAGCAGTGCATCTACCCAGCACTATGGGGGCCTCGCCTCACTGGGTGCTGGCACTTCCCAGAAGGCAGGGTCATTGTCCCTATTCCACAAGGAGGGACTTGGGACTCAGGGTGTGGCCAAAGCCATTGCCTAAAATTTTACCCCCAGCTGGCAAGTAGGAGATCCTCACTTCAAGATTTGTTGACCCTGAGGCCTATGCCCAGAGCATTATCCTATCCATGGAGTCAGAACAAAGCAGACAGGTGGGAGGAAGTGGCAGATTTCAGCATCATATGTCTGTATTTTCAGTTGTAACATGACGCTTTTCAACATTTGCTTTTACGATGCTGGATTTATACCTCACTGGGACAAAACCCAGCTTCCTCTTCTTTCTGCTCCAGAGCTTGTAGATGCTCCTCTGATGACATGAAGTGCTTGCTACATACTGGCCTTGCCTTTCCTGGGCCATGACTGCTTGGGGACAGAGACTTGATGGCCCTGGCATCAGCTGAGGGGGCTTGTTCTCTTTCTATTCCCGGCAGGCATCCTAGATCCTCGCTGCCAACTGTGTGTGTTTATGGGAAAAACAGACCCGCAGGCCCCGAGCCACCGGCAGCAGTCTGTGCTCTTGGTTCCCATGGACACCCCAGGGATCAAAGTCATCCGGCCTCTGACAGTGTACGGGCTGGAGGATGCTCCAGGTTAGACAGCCCTGGTGGGCCACCCTTGACTCTGGCTCAGGTCCTTGGGGAATGACATTGGGTGGCCCTTGCTCAAGTTCAGGACTTGCCACATGTAAGGGTCTACTGACATTTGGGCTGCCACGTGGTCCTGTGTTTCATTTCCATAATGAATATCAACCACGTAGCAGATTGAAGATGGGCATGTAAGCAATTTTGTTCCTCTTCAAGGCTTAGAAGTTGAGCAGGAGTCTGTGAGACAGGGAAGGTACTCGGTCAGGGTGGAGACAGGAAGTGTTCTCTGGACCTTCTTTTCTAGGTCCCAGTGTGTACAGCAAGGATCCAGCCGTAGCCCCAGTGAGGTCCTTTCGTGGGGAGGGGGCAGGGTTCTCTCCTAACAATGTTCCCTCTGACATTTTGGGGGTTACTACATTGTTACTCACATGCTAAGGAAGTTTCAGCTTAAGTTTACATCCTTATATTTATCAAAAAGAAATAGCAAAATATTAATTTGCCATCACAAATCAGTGATACTTTCTCCATCTTTCCGTCCTGTTCTCCCTCCCCATTTAGCCATGACCTAGTTAGAAGTCTCAATGTGATGCAGGATGTTGCCAGGAGATAACCCAAACTAAGACAGGGAATAAACACATTCAAGGAAAACCCAAATGACAATTGTTCAAGGTGGTGCATCTGGGTCTTTCAGGTGGCCATGGTGAAGTACGATTTGAGCATGTGCGTGTGCCCAGGGAGAACATAGTTCTGGGCCCTGGCCGAGGCTTTGAGATTGCCCAGGGCAGGCTGGGGCCTGGCCGGATCCACCACTGCATGAGACTGATTGGGTTCTCAGAGAGGGCCCTGGCGCTCATGAAGGCCCGCGTGAGTGCCCCCCAAGTGCCCCTCTCTCCCCAACACTGACTCAGAACCACCTTCTGCTGTGCTGGTAAGCTTCAAATCCTAACTGTTTTCTGAGAGCAGACCTAGCAGGTGAAGCAAGATGATGCTCTTGCCAAGAAGCCGCACCCTGTCTTTGCTTTGCTTCTACTACTTTGCTTCAGCTTGACATTCAGAACAGAATGGCCCGTTCTGCCCAGGTGACCAGAAGTGAAAGGTCAGGGTCTGTGACAGCTGAGGGCAGAGTTCCCTCATGTTCTGCTGAGACACATGAGTTCCCAGCACGTGGTTAAAATTAGGTGCCAGGGAGAACCCAGGTTGCCGCATCAGGCTCTGACCACCCTCCTCCCCAGCAGGTCCAGAAAATATAATCTACTGTGACCCCTCAAAGGTTGGAAGCCTATGTAAAAGAGAATTACTGCCAGGGACGAGAGAGAATTCACATCAGTGGTAATGATCTCACAAAGATGAGGCAAAACTTTGATACAAAACAAATTCCTCACACAAAATACTACACAAAGAACAGAAGGCATCTTTTATTTATCTTTTTTGAGGGATGTGGTACTGGGGATTGATCCCAGGGGGGCCTTACAACTGAGCACATCACCAGTGCCCCTTAAATTTTTTTCTTTGTTTTAAGAGAGCCTAAGTTTCCCAGGCTGGCTTTGCACTTGGGATCCTCCTGCCTCAGCCTCCCTGGTTGCTGGGATTACAGGTGTGCACCAGCATAACTGTCTAAAATGTATTTTGATTACTGTGCAAACTTTTTGTGATTTACAACTTTTTCTTTTTTTATGGAGACAGCTCAGTTCTTTTTCTCTTTGAAAATAAAATACTTGAGGCTGGGGTTGTGGCTCAGCAGTAGAGTGCTGGCCTCGCATGTGTGAGACCCTGGGTTCGATCCTCAGCACCACTTAAAAATAAATAAGTGAAATAAAGGAATTGTGTCTAATTACAATTAAAAATAAATATTTTTTAAATAAATAAAATACTCCTTCTTGCAGCCTCAGGAATAATACTTCCAGCCCCACATGATTAAAACTCAGACCAGCCTTCCAGCAGAGCAATTTGGCTCTACATGTCAGAAGTCTTCAGAGTGCACAGCATTTACATGGCAACTCGATTTGGGACCAGGTGCAAGAGAGTAATGAGGACTCTACAAAAGATTTGCTACTAGAAGTTTCACCACAGTACTGGTTGTAATGGCAGAATGTTGGGAACACCCTGTAAGGCTAACTTTGGATGACTGGTCACATAAACCATGTGCAGACATGTAACAAATCCCCACAGACGCTGTGGAAACCTGCTTCTCAACATAGGAGATATTTACTGTATACTCTTAAATTTTAAAAGCAGGCTTCAATGCACTATAGAGCATGAAATGTTTTATAAGAAATGTGTATGCGCATATAAAAAGTCTAGAAAGTCATGCAACAGATATTAACTATAAGTCACTAGATAGTGAGATACTAGGTATTTTTATTTTCTTTTGTCTGAAAATGGATAATTTTTCTGCCATGAGATATATTATTTGTGTAAAAATTACTTCTAGTAAAGATAAACAAGCTAATCAAATGAGAAAAATAAAGAGTATTTATAACATTTCCTGATGCCTTGTGGCCTTCAGATAATCCTTCAGATAAATGCCCCTTGAGGTAAGGAGGCCCCCAGGCGCTGCTCTCAGTGGAGCGGTGAGGCGAGGCTGGCCATGGCCAGCAGGGGACGCCATGCCCTGCATGATGTCAGGCTCCACAGTGGCACTCTGCCTCCCATGAGCAGCAGTGAGCCAGCTTCTGGTACAGATCTGAAAGAACTCCTGCCTGCCCAGAGATATAGGGTTCTTGGAAGTCAGTTGTACAGCCATAAGGACCTTGGCACACTGTGGTGCCTGGGACGTTGTGGCATCTAGATCTCCCCGAAAATGCCTGTGGCTGAAGAGCTGGCAACCTTCCCGTCCTGCTTCTGCCCTCCTCGCCTGCCTGCTCTCGTGTGTGCTCCCACCCGCTCTGCAAGCCCCCAGCCTGAGCCTCCCAAGAGTATCCTCAGCCCAGCATGTCTTCAGCCTGCATCTCCTGTGTCTGCAGGTGAAGTCCCGTGTGGCCTTCGGGAAGCCCCTGGTGGAGCAGGGCACAGTCCTGGCAGACATCGCCCAGTCACGTGTGGAGATCGAGCAGGCCCGGCTGCTGGTGCTGAAAGCTGCCCACCTCATGGATGTGGCAGGAAATAAGGTAGCAGCCAAAGGCTGTGGGGGTGGCCCTCACAGAAGACAGGCCCTGAGGCCATGGGGCAGAATCTCATCCAGCTGGCCGAGGAGAAAGAGCTCAGCCTTTTGACATCAATAACTTTACTTCAGCTCTCCTTGGAACTCTTCGGGCAGCTATTCATAAACAGAAAAGTCTCAGTGAAAAAGAACTAAATTTTCTGGACTCCCAGGCCCTAATCCAAATATAGAATTAGTCAACTCAGAGGCTTATTTCCAAGGGTGACACTATCCATTAGTTAAGGCTTTTGCCCATGGTAGCCAGGAAGGAAGCTCACTTGTCCAGATTTCTGTGGGGGTTTCACCTCTAGTCAAGTGCCTTAGTAATGGAGGGCCGAACAGGTTCATGGTTCTTGGTTCTTTGACACTGTAGTGCTAGTTACGCTGGAACCTCCCAGGCACCTCCCTCAAATGCCTGACTCAGGGCAGATCCTTGCAGCTTGGTTCCCTGGACCTCTATCTGGCCTTGGTCCACTGTTGCTTAGATGGAGCTGGCTGTGGTGTGGAACAAGGCACGTTGGCTTTGCTCCCTGTCAACTGAGTCACTGCACATGCTGACAATCCAGCACAGCCCAGGACCTCTGTTTTGAGTCCTTGTATTTTTGTGAAACAGGTTATTCTTCCCAGCAGTCAGTCCTCGCTTCTTTACAACCTTGTCTCCCCTTCCGCCCAGTAGGCTGCAGCTTTAGATATTGCCATGATTAAGATGGTTGCCCCGTCCATGGCCTACCGAGTGATCGATCGTGCTATTCAGGTGAGCACAGATGGTTGGTTTGAACTGCTGGCAGCAGATGCAAACCTTCCTCACCTCTGGCTGACCTGGGTGTACCTAGCAGCTTCCTTGAGCTGCCCATTTGCTGCTATGGGGTGTTCCTCTTCCTCTTCAAAGCAACCCTGTGAGGAGGGGGCTCCTTCCTGCCCCCATTTTCAATAAGAGCAAACAGTAGCCCAGGAAAGAGAAGTGACTTCTCAGCTCACTCAGCTGGTGGCCACTGGCCTCAAGTTGCCACGAGCCTGGGTCTGTCTTCACAGTGCCAGAGTCCAGCTGCTTCTGCATGTGTGGTCGCCTCCTCTCACCCTATTGCCTCACTCCGATGGGGTGTCCCTAGTAGTAGAAGCCACCTTACAGCGTAGTGTGGCAAATCAGGAGGCATCCAGGGGTTGGCAGTGAGGCCTGCCTGAAGTCTTCTGGAATGTTAGTTTTATCCTGTATCATAGGGAACAGTCCTGGAAGGTGGCTGTCATCACCATCCTGAGCAGGCTGTCATGCCCAGGCCCTCAGAAACCAGTGCTCACCCCAGACTTCCTCTCCTTCCCAGGCCTTCGGAGCAGCAGGCCTGAGCAACGACTATCCCCTGGCTCAGTTCTTTGCGTGGGCCCGAGCGCTGCGACTTGCTGACGGCCCTGACGAGGTGCACCGGGCAACAGTGGCCAAGATGGAGCTGAAGCAGCGCACTTAGGCTGCAGGACGCGGGAGCCCATTGTGTCCTGCTGGCATCTGACTTTCCTCCCTGGGGTGAACACAGACACTCACTAAAATGTTATTTTGGGGGCTGGGGTTGTGGCTCAGTAGCAGAGCGCTTGCCTAACACATGTGAGACACTGGGTTCAATCCTCAACATCACATACAAATAAATAAAAGGTATTGTGTCCACCTACAACTAAAAAAATATTTTAAAAGAATATTATTTTGGAAAAGGGCTTTGGGAAACAAAAGAATGAGAAGAGATTTCTCACAGACTTTGTGAACTTTGTATGTCATAGGAACGGGATTGAGAATCAAGTTGCCCCCCTCAGACTCTGTGCCTCAATACATCAGCTGCTTCCATCGCACCCTGCCCTGTGCCCTGGATCATGCATGTCGCTTGCTGACTGTCACCCCATAAGTCCCCAGTTGCTGCTGCCTCAGATCACTGCTCACTTCCACACTCTGTGCTCATATGAACTGCACCACAGGAACTGTAGCACTCCAGTGTGTGAGGCCCCTGCAACTCCCTTTCCTCCAGCTGCACTAGTTCCACAGAGCATCTGGGGAAGGGGAGGTGGCAGAGAATGTGCTGTTGCAATTCGGAGAGCCGGATTTCCTCCCTGAGGAGGTGCAAACACATGTCTGATGCTTCTGAGAAGTAGGTGCCTTGAGAGCCAGGTGGCAGTAAGCTATCGACTTTGAGGTCCTGCTCTGCTGATCTTAGGGGCTTGTGCAGTGGGCAAAGCCCCTCCGAGGACAGACAAGGTGGGCAGGGCCATCCCTTCCAATTGTGCATTGCAGACCTGACCTTGGGTGCTGCTTTCCCCAAAGTGCCTGTAAACAGAGCCCACTTGGTGCTTTGAACATAATGGCTTATTTTAACACTGACATTTTTTTTTCTTTCTCTTCTCTCTCTCTCTCCCTCCTTAGCCTTGGGAGCAGCAAGATTACCCTTCTTATCATCCACAGGAATGAAGTAATTTTGACTTTAGGGATGGTGCCAGAAGACCTAAGAAATGGCTGTCTTTCAAGGCTACAAATGAATTATAACACCTGATAGGGCATGCCTAGAATGTAGCCTTTGATTCACCTCTTTAAAAGCCCTCTGTTCCCCCCAATGGGAATCACAGCCTCTGAGACAGGAGTCCCCTGTGTTTCTCTGTTGCTAGCAAAGCAATAAAACTTTATTTTCCTTTTTCTCAAAACTTTGTCCTCATTATTGGATTGACATTAGGAACAAGGACAGAGCTCTCAGTAACACGCCCATTAGCTCACTAGGACCTTGCATCCCAAGGAGCAGAGCCATGGGGGCTCGAGAACAGGCTCCCCAACAATGCTGGGCAGGCAGGTCCTTCTCCACCATATATGAGAAGCCGTGTGTTGCTGAAGGAAGGCAAAGTGGAGTTCCAGGCCTGCCTAAGGTCCCCTCAACACCAGCCACCCACAAAGCATCTTTTGCAAACCCACAGGGTACCTGAGTTCTGCCTTCGGCCTCAGGAGGAAGGAGAGCTTTTTTTTTTTAAAAAAAAAAAAAAAAGGAAATGGTCATGGCCTGGCATATCATGTTCCTCTGAGGGTAACCTTGCTTGTTTAGTGGAGCTGATGCAGGGACAAAAACAGCAGCCTGCCAGAGTGACCCCATGTCTCCCCCAGATGCTTTGCTACAAGTGAGAAGGCGGCCGGGGGGGCGGCCAGGCAGCACTAAGAACGAAAGCTTTCTGCAGAACAGCGAGTCCCAGGGATGAGGCCTCCAGCCTCTCGGGCAGGTGTCCAATTCTGTTATATGATTCCACTGAGTGAGCCTTTACTCTGGGCCAGGTTCTGGTTTAGGCCTTGGGAAACGTACAGCTGAACAAAACAGGTAAAACTGCTGTCCTTGTAGACTTCTCAAGTGGGGATGGCAGTAAGTGCCCCAGGACTGGTGGGTGATATGGCAGACATTGCTGAGGGGCCTGGGGACTCAGGAGTGGACCCTTTCTGGAAGAAGCATTGGAATCAAGTGCTGACAAGAAGAAAGAGCAAGAATGCTTCCAGAGGCAGGAGCTCTGAATGCAAAGGCCCTAAGGTCAGCCCACTGTGTGGAGCGAGGGAGCAGGAGATAGGGTAGGAGATGCCATTGGGAAGGTTAGGCAGGCTCCTGGCCACGTGGGGCCTGTGTGGTGTTGACTCTCAGTGTAACAAAGCCGTGAGTACGGGTAGTAATGAAACATGACCCGATTTGGGTTTTTAAAAGATTTTTCCACTCTACAAAGTTCATGAGGATTAAGAGGGAATAAAGGCAATTAGAATGAGTTTGGAGTTCTCTAACACAGCAGAGGGCTCCAAAGCAATCTCCTGAAAAATAACAAAGATAACTGGGTGTGATGGCACACACCTATAATCCCAGCAGCTTGGGAGGTTAAGGCAGGAGGATCACAAATTTTGAGGCCAGCCTCAGCAACCCAGGAAGGTCCTATCTCCAAAACAAAAAAAAAAAAAAAAGAGGGCTGGGGATATAGCTCAGTTGGTAGAGTGCTTCCTTCACATGAACAAGGCCCTGGGTTCATTCCCAGCACCATAAAAAAATAAAAGAGCTGGGGGTGTAGCTCCCAGAGTTCAATCCCTAGTACCCAAAATAAATAAATAACACAGATAAAATGAAAAGGAAACCCTACCCTGGTCCTGATCTTGTCCTCCCCACCTTCACCAATAGCTAGCCTTTCTGATTTGTCCAACATGGCAATGATCTTGGTGATATCTTCTCCTTGACTTTCCCAGTGAGGGAAGCAAACATATGGCCTCGAGAGCACACGTGGGCATGACTGGGCTTGGTTTGGCAACGACTGAGTTTTCTTGGTGGAATCCATCTCAACGTGGTTGGACCTGTCTGGGAAAGGGAACAACACATAATCAGAACAGACTCATTTTTTTTTCTCATGGTAATATTGTATCCCAAAGCAACTGGGCCAGTGCCCCCTCTCCCCTCTTGGTTCACACCGATTGGCCTGGATTTCCAGCCTCCTCAGTGACTCTGCAACCTTCAGAGCTCCCAGGGCCCACCAAGTCCCAGTCTCTCCAATTCTCCTTCCTCATTCTCTGGGCAGCTACCTGCACAGGCTGCCTGAGCTCCCGCAAGCACTGATTTCAGATGCTGATAGATGATTCCAGAACAATCCTGAGAGGCTGAAGGGAGATCAAACTCTAGGGAAACTGCCTGGGTGGGGCCCCTTCGAGGTTGCACCGTGGGGAGTGGCGCTGAAGGAACAGACTCCAGCGTTCTCTGCCACAAGTCCCCAGTCTTGGAGCGGTTGTCACCATCCAGGGCTTAGAGCTCCTCAGGGATGCCCGTGGGGTGCCAAGGCTTTGTCAGAGCTGGCCACTCTGCAGTCAGGGCTGAATTGCTGGTCGAGCATCTCTGAGACCCATCTGGACCAGTACTTCGCCTTCTGGCTGCCACACAGGTACAGACTCCTCCCCTCTGTCAACATGCATGAATGTCAGCACAGAGTGTGGACTCCAGCAATAGCGGGCCCAACAGGTGATAATCAGTCTTGGACAGAGTTTCTAAGCAAATTGATTGAGTAGAGAATGGCTTCAGGGAATTTTTTCTCATTAGGTGGATAACATAGTGGTTCAAGTTGTCAAAGATTGATTAAACTGGACCCTAATTAAGGTGGTAAGGACAGGTTTTAATCAGTAATATGCTACTGCAGTTGGGAAGAGGGGCCCTTGTGAGTTGCACTCACTGATTTGTGCAGAGATGGCGGGAACCTCAGGGATATGGGCTTGAACAGTTAGGTACATGGAAATTCATACCAAGTGGGGACAGGGTTTGGTCCCTGGGTGCTGTTGAAAGTTAAGAGTCTAAGAGGGGGCTGTGGCTGTAACTCAGTGGTTAAAGCACTTGCCTAGCACATGTGAGGCACTGGGTTTGATCCTCCGCACCACATACAAACAAATAAGTAAAATAAAGGTATTGTGTCCACCGACAACTAAAAATATATTTTCTAAAAAGTTAAAAAAAAAAGAGTCTGGGAGACAAGGGCTCCTACTTATCTTCAGAATTTTGTCTGCAACAAACTTCTTTTGGCAAACTTTGAGCTTTCTCAGGCAGGCACATTCAGTGTTTATTCAAGCTTATTCATGTGGTGGGAGTGCAGATTAAGTCATTTCTGCTGATAGTCTACAATTTTTATAGTCCAAGGTTGTGGCCTCACCCTGGGGAGAAGGCTTTAAAGAGCCTGGTTAGGGATTGATCAGGGAGAGAATTTTGAGTCTGGATTTCAGTGGCCCAAATAGTGTGAATCCCACTTCCACTGCAGACAACTGGGTGCTTTGGGAAGCAGTTTTCCCATCTCTTAGCCTTGGCTTTTTCATTTGAAAAAAATGGGGAGAACAGCACTTTCCTTCCAGGGTTGTTTAAGTTTTACGAGGTGACACATGATTTATCAGAGGCTTGCAATGTGTGCTAGTTAATCCTGTGTGACTGGAATCAGGAGGGGAGCCTGCTAAAAAGGAGAAGGAGGTGTGCTTAGAGTGTGGGTGCAGTTCTGTATGGCTTCATCAGGGCTGAGAGCCAGCTTAGACCAGCTGACCACAAGGCCTCCCCAAACTTCACATGCAAAGGAATTCCCCTGGGCTGTGATTAAAACAGAATGTGATTCAGCAGTTTTGCCATTTTCCCCCCAGTACTGGGGATTGAACTTAGGGCTTCACACATGCTAGGCAAGTGCTCTACCACTGAGCCACATTCCCAATCTTTTTAAAAAATATAATAAAATGTGATTAAATATAATTTGGTATATTTTAATGGACTGCATTAAAAGTACATGTTTATCGCATCAATTTTCACAATATGTAAATTCTTACTGTGTATCTTACAATATGGGAAACATTCTAACAGGTGCTGTGAGGACCTTCAAAGATTAACCAGACACTGAACTTACTGTAAAGAGACTTAGATACAGATAACATAAAAAGGGAATGAAGGGCTGGACTTTTGGCTCAGTGGTTAGAGCGCTTGCCTAGCACTTGTGAGGCACTGGGTTCAATCCTCAGCATCACAAATAATAATAATAAATAAAGTTATGGAAAAGTTTTTTTTTTTTTTTAAAAAAAAAGGAATTTAAAAAACGATTTAAGCTATCTGTGCAGCATCTTCTTCAGAAATCAGTCATCTCTTCTGATCTTCCAAAGTTTTGGAATTCCTGTATCCAGCAAAGGAAAAGATGATTCATTATGCCTTCCTCTCCAATCACGAAATTCCCTGGCTACATGAGCTGTTATTTTTCTCAAAACAACTGCTTTTTTTTTTTTTTTTTGTACCTGAGATTGAAGTCATTGGTCCTTAGCCACTAAGCTAATTACCCAGTCCATTTTTGTTTTTAATTTTGAGATGGGGTTCTCGCTAAATAGCTTAGGGCCTCGTTAAGTTGCTGAGGCTGGCTTTGAACGTGTAGTCCTCCTGCCTCAGCCTCCTGAGCCACTGGGATTATAGACATGCACCATTGCATCTGGCTACAACTGCTTCTGCTATGTGAATGAGAGAATTTTGGATTCTCACACACTGCCCCACCACCTTCTTGAAAAGTCATTCTTATTACCTTATTAAATATATAATATCCTTTTTTTTCTGAGTAAAGTTCCTTGTTCCCTCAAGTAATATATCCCAGCTTCTATTGGCTCTGGATCTAGGATAATGGATTTATTTTGCACTTGAAGTTTCAACTGAAATGTAGGCAAATTTTATGTCCTGCTGAACAGTGTGATATAAAGCAGAGCTTTTCTGATTTTTCTCTTTTACCACATTACATGTTTTGTTATCTCCTTGCTAATGTGATTATGACACTGCATCAGATTAGCGGGTACTTTTTTGATGTGAGGCCAATCAATCAATGGTCAAACATTGCTAAATAGTGCTGGAAAACATCAACTCATATAAGGAGCAAACTTATAGCCATTGCCATATTTAATACATGAATTCTACAAGACTTGCCTTTGTTTTTTTCTGATGAATCCTAACCAATTTCACCTTGATATTGCATTTTAAATAAAAGCTGTACATCAGATTGGTTATTATTGGCTCACCACTTTCATGATATGGACACATTCAGAACATTTATTTATACCAATAGATCGTATATTTTCACACTACCCATATACTATGGACCAAATCCAAAAACTGGTAATATCAGGATGCAAACACCATAGTTCATAGGCCTGGTTG